TGATATGGGCAAAAGTTTGGATCAGTGCATTAAGGCTTGCAGTGAAAACGCAGCCCAAGCAGCAAAAATAGTTCTTTGATATTTTGTCTCAGTATGATGCCATAAAGCAGCTCTGCAGAAAAAGATCAATGCCTGCTACATAATTGCCCCTTTAGCTCTCTGGAATACATGGTTCTGCAGGATGGGGAGAGATGTGAAAGAGATGTAAACAAGAGCAAATAAAAAGATTATTTGAGCAACAACAGAGCTGCCTCTGAAGAAGACTTTGGGCATAGTCAATATTTACTTGCATTATAATGAAGTTTGATTAAAGCATTATTTCATGCTGCATCACACACGGGTGCATCACATGCTGCACACCACATTAATCTATATCCTGACAGGACTAATTGTGTCTCCCTCAAAAGAGTTATGAATTCAGGAGCGCAACTGCACATTTACTGAGGAGTATGCAGGTTCAAGTTTTGCAAACATGCCTTGCTTTTGTACTTTTTTTACTATATTTGTTAACAAAACAATAGATAAGGGAGTCCTAAAGGGCTAAAGAACTTAAAAATGCTATCAATTCTCACATGCATACTGTAAGAGGTGTAAGGTCTGTCTTTGCATGAACAAATGACTGAAACCGGTATTCCACCTCTCACAAAGTGAAATAAAAAAAGACTGTAAAATGTTTAGTGTTAAAAAAAATAAACAGAGACTATTGTAATTGGCTTCTATAAATGCGATCTGAAGATGAATGAAAGCGGATACTTTGAGATTCGGGTGTGTGAACTACACTTAATAATTTGTAAACTTGTCCATCTTGGTGTGTTTTATTTTAAACACAACTAATATTATCTTAAATGAGCATAAACAGAACTAATGTTTTCATTATGTTCATTCTAAAAGTCACACCTCTGTTATCAAACAAAACAGTGGATCAAACTGATATTAATTTGCTGCTCTTCACTAAATAACTATAGTAACTTTAATCAATATTTAAATGCAGTGAAAAAATTCTATCTTTTGAAGCTGACGGTCCATAAAGTTAAGACTATCAAGCATCCAGCAAAGTCAACTTTTTGCCAGCCCTATGGCTTTAGCCCCTAGAATTATACTGTTTTTTACATACTATACAGGATGGAAGTATGCAATTTTGGACATAGTCCAGGTGTAGTCGTGCATCACTGTCTCCCTGCCTAGACAAAACGACCAAGTCTGTAATAGCCCAGTGATTAGGTGATTATTACTTAATAAGTATGCCGAACTTTGAAGCATAGATATGGGTTTGTATAGATCAGGGATTGATGGTGATTCACTGCACTAACAGACTGTTTAAGTGGTTAGTCAGAGAGACTGTCTGATGGCACAGGTTCATTGACAAATCATTTTTTAATTTAAGAGATAAAGGCTTTTAAGCAAGTATTTCATGCTGTTTGGACTAAATGTTTTTAGAAATGTGCTTACTGGGTTACAAATATTAAGGGTGATTTAAGAAATTTACCAAGGTAAGTAACTGGAGTACAATTACTTTACATCACCCTAAATCAAAGATACACTTTACTGTCAAATGTCTATTTTACCTGATGGAGAGGTCCAGTTCACCTATGTGCTTTACAGTATGACGTGAAAGATATGAATTTGCAGAATATTTTTTACATAAGTCTTTTCACAGCCAACACTTTTGGTACTTTTACCCAAGCAAGTTTTACTGTTACTTAGTTACATACAATATAAAGCACTGTTGTGGTCCCGGTTCATTTTCATCTTCTTTTATAATACTGAGCATTAAGTATGCTGGAAAGCAGTCTGTTGCTGTTTTCAGCATCTACAGAAAGAAGTCATGCTGGGTGTGTGCAAAGTGTAAAGCCCAAATTAGGGCAATGAGCAAAACCTTTTAGCGGACAGAAGAAAAACCTCAGGATGATTGCCAATACTAAAGAAGAACTACTTTAGATTGCTATCAAATGCACTGTCATGTTTGTGCTCTACTGACTAAACTTTATTGTTATTTTTCACTCATGACTGACTCACTTCTACTAACCATGTTCATTTAATTTTACACCATTTAAACTCATTTGTTCAACTTTCTACCAAATTACAATTAGACCATCCTTTTAAATGGTTTAAGGCAGGTAGTGTAACGTCTCTTGAAAAAATGTCCTGATATGGTTAGTTCATAGAAGTTGAAGTCATTCATACCATTCATATACAGCATTTACATGACAGTTCAAAATAATGTTCTTAAAATGGTACATGATATTAACACAGTATTTTGTTGTTGAGAAACTGCTTAAATGTTTCAAACTGTGAGCTTCTGTACTGATATTGACAGATGATTAGTTGTCAAGTTTATCCCAAAGTGTTTTGCATCTAAAAACTGTGAAGCACTAGAAAAAAAATGCAGTTAACGCCAGTCGTCTTCTTACCTGAAATTGAGCAAGCTATTCTTGTCATCAAAACCTTTTATGTAAAGGTGAAGCCACGCGTCTTTCCCCCCTTTGACGTCTCTGAACATCCGCCTTGTTTATAATTCCCATACAACAATACAGCGCTCTCTGTCGCCACACTGCGGCCGTTGACTGCTATGTTCAAAGAGACAAAACAGTAGGTTACTTGAGTTAAAATAATAACGATGAACATTAATAAAATTCTGTTTGAACAAAGTTGTCTGGCTATGTTTTTAAAATTTGTATGTGTGGGGTGAGTTTGTCATAGGTTCGCTATTCATTAACACAACTAAAAAACCTTTTATGCACAAAATGTGTTCACATTGGTCTAAAAAATACTATTTTAGTGCTGTTGCTAAACTCTGATTAATCAATATTTAAAGTGTTTAAACACCAGAAAACATTTTTACAATGGATGTAGCAAATGTAAACATAGCGAAACTGTTACACAATCAACATCTGTAATCATCAATTGGGAAAAGTAGGACTTAATTCACATCAAAGGTCATTTTAATACCAAATGAACACATTTTTTCTTGTTCACATAGTTAAACTGATAATTTGCCCAGAACTGAGTATGCTGTCATCAACTTTGTCTGTGTTTCTTTCTTCTGTTAAACACAAAAACAAGATTGTGACTTCTACATCGGCTTTTACTGAATGTTTTTTCTACTGTGAAAGTCTTTGGTAACCAGCTTTCGGCTTTCTTCAGAATATATTCTTTTGTTTTTAACAGAAAAAAAGAAAAGCATAAATTCCCAGTGCTGGGTTGTGGCAAATGATTGTGGCTGGAAGGGCATCCCCTGCGTAAAACATATGCTGGATAAGTTGGTGTTTCATTCCGCAGTTGTGACCCCAAATAAATAAAGGGACTACGCTAAAAAGATAATGAATTGAGGAATGTAGAAAAGCATAAAGGTTTGGATCCACCTGAGGGTAAGTAAATAGTGCAAAAATGATCATTTTGGGTCCCTTTAAGTTTCTTGATTGAAGTCTGCCATCTGGATGTGGCTCCCCTTTCTGGTCAATGAAGGAGATGCAGGAAAACCTTGTTCACAATTACAGAAATTAACCTCAAATTAATACATTCATTCAACAGAGCCTGCAACTTTTAAAGTTTATTCATATTAAAATTCTTTTGAATATCACATGGCCTAAAACAAAATATCAACCTGCGTATCAGTTTATGAGGATGTTGTGTTAATTCTCCCATTACATTTCTCATTATCTGTTGCGGTTTAAGCTTGATTAGTTTATATTGCAATTCTGTTCATTTTTGTAGACAATATCCTGTTTCAGGCTGTTGCCTAAAAGCAAGAAGGTCGCTTGTTCAAGATAGTTGGCATTTCTGTGTGTAGTTTGCATGTTCTCCCCGTGTTTGCATGGGTTTCTTTCGGGTGCTCCGGTTCCCCCCAGAGTCCAAAGACATATGCCATAGGTAAATTGAATAAACTAAATTGGCCAAAGTGTATGTGTGTGAATGAGTATGTATGGATGTTTCCCAGTACTGGGTTGCAGCTGGAAGGGCATCCGCTGCGTAAAACATACAGTATCCTGATGAATAAAGGGACTAAGCTGAGGGAAAATGAATATCAACCTGTTTCATTTTTTTTAGTGGAAAAGTTCATTGAGAGGGTTTATCAGAGGCCAGGGTAATAATAGCATGGATGTATTTATAGGTTTGTTTAGAGCGACCAGACAGTCAAGCTAAGTCAAATTAAAAATACATAAGGGCATCTGTCTCTCTTTTTTTTCGTATCCGCTCGCTCACTCACTCACTGTCTGTTGTTTTTCCACTGCTCCAAATGGAACATGCCAATAGCACTGCCTCGCATGTGAAAACATAACAAGGTACATTTTCACTAACACACACACTAACAATGCCATTTACTGTAATTGATTCAATTGATTCAATCCTTAAATGATCTAATGAACTGAGTGAAATGAACCAATACATTCAATACATTTATACAAACTAAAAGGACCAGAACTAATCATTTTTTAGGATAAATAAACAGTTATTTTGTTTATATGTGTGTTTGGTTCCACAGTCCAAATCTGACTCACATATCGCACATAAAAACAATTTGGAGTACAAAGCTGTAAAGGTCAGTGGTGAAATGGTAATTCCAAAGTTGTCAGTGAATGTTATATCTATGCTCCTTCTTTTGCTGAAGGTTAAGTGTTTCGTTTTAAGTTGACTCTAGTTAAATCATTCTACCAAAGCTAGAAAAGCTATAAATGTAACCCACCGGTCCTTGTGCACCCAACCCAGTCTAAACTCGGATCGAACCGGCGATTCTTCTATTGGAGTTGGTTGCTCTAACAAGGAGGCTAAAAACCATGCCCTCTAGTGTCTGTCACTAGAGCACCTTTGGAGGTCAGAAGAGTGAGGTTTTACTGCAAAGCACTTCGCTAGCTGGCCTCCTTTACACTCACCCCCCTAAATCTCACTTCTATCCCGGACGAGCCCCCACATGTAATCCACCGGTCCTACTGGAGCTGACCTCCATTACATCAATTTTCCATTTTTTTTTCATTAAATGAAGACAAGACTCCATGAGAAAATGTAGTAAAATTGTCATGCCTGTCATAGAAATCGTTTTATTATCACTTAAAAATGAAGAAATGGTACAGTACAAAACAAACAAGACTGAGATATTATATAAAGGCACAACGTTACATTTTATATATAATTATTATGCACCTTGTCAAATGTTCACTCAAGACTCAAAGCAAGTGTTTGGTCACAAGTGTAGTGGCCTCTACTTAACATTCTTTCGCTAATATTTTATACAATATATACTAACATAAAAAAGAAATTACTGAACTGGTAACTTTACAAAAACGTTGTCAGGGACCAGCCTGTTGAAAAAACTATGGAGGATGACTTTGTATTACCAGGCACACACATACACACATACAGTATAATACAGCCACACAGCCTTTCTGTTTTTGTGTTTTTTCTGACTCTTTTTATCATCAGCATGTTCTCATTTTTCAAAATGACCAAGATGCTGAGGTATGTCTTAACATTAAAAATGGCTAAAGTAAGTAAATTTCAAAATAAGGCCTTTTTTCTAGATGAATGAAATTGTTTGTCACTTTGGTTATAATAAAAAGCGATGATGCACCAGGAAAAAAGTAGAAAAATACTGTGCAGTCACTGGCCATTTATAAGAGTGCTTAAAAGTGCATTTCCTCTCTGTTTTAAGTCTTTGACACTTGTTTTAAGTCCTTGTCAGGGCAAAAAAGAAAGAAATCTTTGGATTATCATTTTTTCTATGCGTTTCATGCTATATATGCAGTAAAAATTCCCATTCACACACTCTATAATTTTCTGCATGCTTATTAATGGGAAACTACTGTGCATTTTTACTGGTTGGTGAAATCAGTGAGTCCATTCGTCTCAAAGAATAAAATAACACAAGTCAAGTAATTAAAGTCTACACAAAAATAATAATAATAATAAAATAATAATAATAATAATAATAATAATAAAATAATAATAATAATAATCAGTGTCCAGTTATCAATCTACAGAAAATACTATAAACAACACTATAAACTTCTGCTATAGATATAGGCCTCAAAAATAAGGCAGTCTTCATGAGCATCTAGGGAAAAAACTAATGTACCCTTTGATAATAAAAAATACCAAGGTTGTGGGAAATATATAAAAACATCTTCTCACAATGAACCAAAGAAAACGATTGGCACCATCAGTAAAATGCCCTTGTCAATTTGCCAGGTAAGAAAAAGCAGATAAGCATCTGTATGTTCACCAAAATGTTAAGGGCAGTATTGTTCAAGCCACAGAGGCTACTTTGTCACAGTCAAAAGAGTGGTGCTGTTGTGAAGTGTTTACATCCTCTTCTGCTTGAGAATTTCCCTCTTGTGCCGTCCTGTTCCAGCAAGGCAGTGCAGCCAAGAACAGAAACACACCAGACACTAAAACACAAGTGCCACTGAGGTAGAACGCCAGGTCATATGACTGAGTCCAGTCGAAGAACCAACCTGGATGAAAAGAGTTGAAAAAAGAGATACACTTGTTTGAAAATATCACTACACCGGAGGAATCTATATACTATAGGCATCTATTTACTTTCAGATCTGCGTTTTCTCCACCACTGACTCATCCACAAATCATCACATAAGTACTGGGATAAATGTTTTTAGTTTGGATATAAACACTAATGACTGTGATAGCCATGAAAGTATATAATAACTGTAGTTACTTGAGGACTCAAATGAAAAAACTATCTAGTCCCAGTAGGTGGCGACTGTTAAAAATGTGTTAACAGTGGTCCCTCACCATAATGCAGTTCACATTTCACTGTCTTTTTTTGTTCAATTTGACATGCTTTTTTTTTTTTTTTTTTTTTTTTACAGCGAATTGTGTTTTGGGTCCTGATTGGCTGCAGACCAATGTCAATCAAACTCTTCCTTGCTGTGTCTCCTGCACAGTACAGAATGCGTTTAGCTTGCCAAATTTACATAAATCTTTGATCGCTAGCAGTGTGACTCTGAAATGCTGTATTGTATGTTTGCTAGTTTTAGTTTTAATGTCGACGAAACCATGTCAAAGGTACCCAAAGTAGCACCCAAAAGGCAGAGGAAGATGCTAACCATCGCACAAAAAGTTGGACTGCTGGACATGCTAAAGGAGTCTAGAAGATGGAAAGGAGCGGAGGAATAAGTGTGAAAATGTTTATGCCTATCTGAGAAAAGTGTATAAATAGTGTAGTGAGAGGTTTTTCAGCCATAAAACATCTATAATAATTGTAAAAAGTACAGCGGACTACTTATTGAGGGCTATTTTTAGAACGTAACTTGTGCAATTAACAAGGGACCGATAAGTGGATACATTCAGCAATGAAACACACTGAGTTATGATTAAGTAATTTAACCTAGAGGTGCACAATTAATCAATGAAACATAGCTAAATTAACTTAAACACCCCTAGAGAACAATTTAGTTATCTATTCAAAATGTTTAACGATTATGATCATAGTGAATATACCGCCAACACCGAAAGCTGTTGACATTTTAGTTATTCCAGTCAGTGAACTTCAAATTATTATAGAAGAACTGGAAAAATGTTTATAGGTAGCATACAAACACTAGTCAGCAAAATAGTAATGCTACTTAAAATAAAGATCGTATAAAGCTTGTCATACCAGTAGGTGGAGACAAGTGATATATCAAAACATTCTGACAAAAAAACTTTTAGGAACACTCCCCTTTTCTGAAAATATACTAATTTTACTCTTTTTGAATATTTTGAAGTGAAATACACAGAAGTTAGCTGATTTTCATCATTGCTAATGGTCTAATCCATAAATTTCCAAACTCAGTCCTAGAGGCCCAGTGTCCTGCCGAGATTAGCTCCAACAGTATATATCTAGCTTGATTAGCAGGTTCAGGTGTGTCTAACTATTGTTGGAGTTAAAGGCTGCATCAGAAACCCCATACTTCCATACTATATAGTATGCTAAAATCAGTATGCGAGCCGAGTAGTATGTCCGAATTCATAGAATTCGAAAATCAGTATGCGAGAAGTACCTGGATGACTTACTACTTCTGGTGAGATTCTGGAGTGCGCATCCCATGCATGCTGCGCTATCCCATAATGTCCCGTGAGAAAATTCATGAATGGACGAAGCGACGCAACTGACGCAGGTAGGTCACGTGACCATGACAAAATGGACAGATGTAGTGCGTCCGAATTCCATTCCTACTTTTCACTTTTATACTGTATAGAACATACTTTTCTAACGGCCAAGTAGTACTATTAAATTCAAATGCAGTACCTACTGAGTAGTAGGCGGTTTCGGACGCAGCCAAACTCTCCAGGAAACCGGCCCTCCAGGACCAAGTTTGGACAGCTGGTCTAATCCAGTTCAATGATCTTTGCCAATCTAAGCTAAAAGTGTTCCTGCCAGACCTGATATCAGCTAAATCAAATCAAAATGCTAAAACTCTAAGAGAGTTGTTTGTTTTACTTTTATTTATACTTTTTATTTATTTATTTATTTTTATACTTTCTTTTTTCTGTTCTTTATATTGTAAAGGGTTGATGAGATTCTTCTTACCTACAACTGGTGGCCCGAGTGCAATTCCAAACCCTCCAAAGCACATGAGAATCCCATGCGCCTGACCAAGCCGTTCAATGCCCACAATCTTGGTAGTGATGTATGATGTAAGAGACCAGTTCCCTGAGAAAAACCCAACAGAGGCTGAAAGAATCTGTAGACCCAAATAGCTCTTGGACACAGGGATGAGAAGCAGAGCCGTTCCAGAGCCAATGAGTGTCAGGGCGTACAGATACAGACTGTTGACCCATCGCATGTCGGCCAGCACACCCAGAATCAGCTTACCGATGCCTGTAGTCATCGCAACAATGGAGACCAGTGGTATCAGCGCAATCCCATCAATAAGCCCTTCGCTCTGGGCCACGTCCTCCATGAAGAGCACAGGTGGAAATGCTCCTAAACTAAACAGAAACATGGCGATACAGAAAGCCATGAAGATCCGGTCCTGTAGGAGCTCTACTGTTTCGCAGAAATACTGTCCATATGGACGCATCCACTTCTTAATGGCTCGTGCTATTATTGAACTGGACAATATGTGGACTTTCCGTTCTCCTTCACTGTCTTGTAGCTCTATGGGGTCTTTATTGATCAACAGTTTCACTGTGGTAGTGTTTTCGGCTAAGCCGGGTTTGGTTTTGAGATCAGATCCAGACTCAATGATAACGGCAGTAGGTTTGCTATAGAGTGGTTCTGGGTCCTCTGTGCGTTGTAGAGCAGCTCTCTGTTTCAGGTAGTAGCCAGGTAAGTTCAAAGGTCGCATTGGCCCAGCACATGCCATCAAGTTGAGCGCCAGCGCCCCAATGATAAGCAGACAGCCTTCCAAACCAAACAACTCAATGAGCTCATTCTGGAGTGTGGCGTAAATGAAGCCACCCACACTTGTACCTGAGGAGGATAATTACAATTAACATCCTGAGTATTGTGGAAAATCAGCCCAATGTATACTTAAGTTTTACACAGAAACCAAGGAATGTGTTCAATTAAATTGTGAATATTCTAACAGCATAAAATGTATATGCAGCAGATATACATGTGCTTTGATTTGTTTTTGCAATACTTAGTTTGCCCACAAGTTGACCCAGAGTGCTGCTTCATAGTCAAAAAACTAATGGAGGAGGCAATAAAAGAACAACAAACTACTGAAGAAGGTTGTTGACTGTGAATTTGTATAAATATGCATAAAAATATTACTAATCCACTTTAGGCTTTTGGGTAAAATTTTATCTAATGTACCCGGTAATCAAGCATAATGTTATAATAGTGTAATGGAGGCCAGCTAGTCAAGTGCAATGCAGGTAAACCTTACTCCTCTGACCTATAAAGGTGCTCTAGTGACAGATGGTTAGAGGCCATGGTGTTTAGCTTCCTTGATAGAGTAACTGACTCCCATACAAAGAATCACAGATTCGATCCTAGCTCAGATCGGTTTGGGCGCAGTAGGAATGGTGAGTTACATGTGGGGGCTCGTCCAGGATCGAAGTGAGGTTTAGGGGATGTAACGGAGGCCAGCTAGTGAAGAGCTACTGTATGCAGGTAAACCTCACTCCTCTGATCTCTAAAGGTGCTCTATCGACAGACGCTAGAGGCCATGGTCTGTAGCACCCTTGTTAGTGCAACCGACTTCCATACAAAGAATCGCCAGTTTGATCCCAGCTCAGATCAGGTTGGGTGTAGTCGAACTGGTGGTTTACACTAACATAATGTTTTTTTGTTACATTTTGTTGATCAAATTCTAATCAAATCAATTGCTTATGCTTGTAATTCAATACAAATAATTATAGCAGTAGTAGGGTGTACAATACTGCAAAAAAATATTTTTCAGGGATTTTTTTATCATTTACAAAAAATTGAAAATGTAACCCCTTTTTATGTGGGTGTCTTGTTTGATTTAGTCCGTCATAGATAAACAAATTTGACACTTAAACAGCCATTATATGGCAGAAAGTCTTTGTCATTACCAGACCAAAGCTAATAACTTGTTGAATAATTTAAATGGATAAATCAACATTTTTGTTACAGATCAAAATATCCGTTCTTCCTTTAGAAGACTGCAGCAACTAAATAACTGGAGAAGAATTGGACTGCTAGTTTATTACATTATACCTTGGCAAAATACCACAAACTGTTCCAACTATTCTATTGACAGATACTTAACTCAAATACTTTTGGTAAGTAGCAGAAAAGCCATAATTCAAAACTGGTTTCAGGTTGATCCTTCAACAAGGGCTCAATGGATAGGAATTGTAAAGGAGATCCACTGTATCAAGAATTCAAAACAGTCCGACAAGTGTTGGCAGAAATGGACAAAGTATGTCATTGTGAGCAATACGTGATAATGTGCTTCAAATGTATTGTGACTTGATTTTGTAACTCTTATGACAACCGCTTTGATCTTGTTTTTTTTCTTTTCTTTTCTGCCTCTTCTGTTTTTTTTGTTTTTGTTTTTTTTCTTTTTTAAAAAAAAAAAGCTTCAGCTCCCAAACCCAAGTGTTTTAAACGGGACTGAAATGAATCAAATTCACTTAATTTGCATAAAATACATAAAGCACGGAAATTCTTTGCACTGTTTTTATTTTTGCAAAGTGAATGGCAAACTCGATAATGTCAGTTGGCATATTGTTGAAACAACATTTAAGATTGTATCATAGACGATAAATAGCGACATCCCTATTAGCTACTTTTTAGTCCGTTGCATACCATAATGTGCAGTTAATGAGTTTAAAATGTGTACCTGTAGTGACGATGCCCAGCGCCAGGCCTCGCCTCTTGTCAAAGTACTGGCAGGTTATGGTCAGTGTGGCAGCATAGACAAGTCCACAGCCCATGCCTTGAACAGAAACAGGAATCCATTAATTATAGTCACCATTTCACAAAAAAAAAATCTCTTACTCTGAAGCAAAATGTAATGCAATGTTCTGAATTAATCTTATAAAAGGGACAAAGGAAGTGAAGTGTAGACTTTGTATGCAAAGTAACTCCAACTTGAACTTATGCAATGGTATTTTTGGGTAGTACATTTCTGTGTGTGCATGTTTCAAAGTCTTGTTGCTGTGTATTACTGGCGATGAAACTGTAAACAGTGGTGGCACCATGGTTTCGAATTCTAAACTGCCAGTGAGTGTTATATAATCATAATTAATAGCACTCCTGGCGGCCACAAATAAGCAGACTGTTTAACTCTTACGATTACAAACACATGAATGTAATTCCTACTTAAAAGATTAATTTGAGATTCTCGTATAATTGTTGAAGGTCAAAAAAACAAACACATATGTCTCTTAATACCAGCATGCTGCTATTCATCAAGTCACTGTTAATGTTGGTTTCATGTTCTTACCTACAACAATGCCATAGGAGAAGATGAGGAAAGAGATATTCGGAGCAAACGCACTCAGCATCAGCCCTCCAGCCACCATCACACCACTGAAGATGGTTACCGGTCGAGCACCGAAATTATCCACACAGGCACTGCACACCGGGCCTACAGAAAAACACAGGAGAACAGCATCTCACTGAATGCAAACAATGAAGAATATGAGGAATAATCTATGCACTATAGACCTCTGGGAAATAAATGCATGTTTAATTGATATGTTCTTTCAATAAAGTCTGAAATAAAGTCATGGAATATTTTATATCTATATATATTAGATTTATTGTCCTTTTCTGCAAATAAGTTTTCTTGGTTAAAATATTCTTATTTTAGTGCACATAATCAGTAGTTTATTCAATAAAACCTAAATAAACTACACTCTATAAAAAACTAAACTCCATAAAAAATATTCATTGGATTTACAATTTTTTTTAAGGTAAGTGATTCCAAACAACTTAATGGATTGAATGTTAACAAACTAATTATATATAGTAATGCTTAAAACTCAAATTGTCTGTTCCCCATAAAACGTTTTATTTGGTTAAACTTACAAACTTAAGTTCACCAGCTGCCTTGAAAATGTGAGTCATCTCAACTTAGAGAGATTCTGTTTCAACTTAAGATGTTGAGTTTTAGTTAATTATATTGTAAAGTTGCAACCACTTACTTTAAAGCAGAAAAAGCAAATCTAATGGATCATTTTTACTGTAATTAATACACAAATTTATTAATGGCAAACACAGAAAACGAATAACAAACTAGTAATGGACTTTCATATTAATTATTTTACATATATTTTTTCAGCGCTGTAGTACTAAATGTTTTTGCCTATAATTGCCTTCCACATAAACTCTTGTAGTTTTGTTTTTGCGCCTTTTTTCATTTATTTGTCCTCCTAATCAGATTATGAAGCACTGAATTTTATTTTACTCTTTTATTATATTGTGTACTGTTATTTTTATTTTGAACAATTTTCAGTGTTAAATACGGTGGCCGAGAGAGCTTAAAGCGCTGAAATTTAAGACAATGCATGCAATTACAAAAAACTTCAGCAAATTAAGAAAAGATCTTCATCTATTTGACAGCACATGTGCTGCAAATCCTCACAATACACACAAATAAAAATGGGCTGCATTTTCTCACAACACAAAAGGAACTGAACACAACGAGTTGCTGAGTGAAGTTGTAGGTGATCTTTGAAAGGTGATTTTTTTGTTTGTTTATTTCAACATCCTGATTCCCTTGTCTTTAGTTTTTGTTAGCCTAAATAACCATAACTTAAATAGCCGGGTCATGTTTTAGGGTCTCCTTGAAATGTTTTCGTTGTGTTGTGAGAAAATGCAGAGCGTTTTAATAAACTGTTTGCAAGAAAACGTTGTAAGCGTGTTTTTTAAAAATATCTTTGCTTTGTGAGGATTTGCAGCATGTGTCCTGTCAAACGGATGAAAATCTGCTCTCAATTTGCTGGCATTTTTTGTAATTTCATGTGTTTTCTTAAATTGCAGCACATTAAGCTTTCTCTGCTATTATAGTTTGGGGCAAAAATGGTTCATAAAACAGGCACATAATTCAACTTGCCAATAAATAAATGCATAAACTGAAGCTCTAACTTACAAGTATAGATGCTTTTATAAGTATGGATAATTATTACAGAAATTATTGTTCGCATATTATGAGGCGGGGCGATGCAGTAGGTAGCAGCAAAATGGTTGCTAATTCAAGCCTCGGCTGGGTCAGCTGGCGTTTCTGTGTGGACTTTGCATGTTCTCCCTGCGTTACCGTGGGTTTCGACCGGGAGCTCCGGTTTCCCCCAGGGTCCAAAGACATGCGGTACAGGTGGATTAGGTAGGCTAAATTGTCCGTAGTGTATGAGTGTGAATGAGTGTGTATGGATGTTTTCTAGAGATGGGTTTCAGCCGGAAGGGCATCCGCTGTGTAAAACATGTGCTGGATAAGTTGGTGGTTCATTCCATTGGGTGACCCCAGATTAATAATTGGACTAAGCCGAAAAAAAAATCAATGAATATTATGAGGCTCAACATCCTAATTGTCCTATTAATGACTAAAAGGAGACTCTTAATCTCTGTCTTGATAACGTCACTGTCTCAGGGGTGAAGAGAGTATGTTTGTCTATCAATCCATTACTAGAATTAGGCTAACAAATGACTCAGTTTCTCGTAAAATGGCCAAAATGCATGTCCTCTGGAGAGCATCTGACGGGGAGCAGTGTTTGTTTGTCTCATTCAGACTAAATAATTTCTCCATCTTTACTTTGATGTCTCATTAGGGTCTGTACTGTCTGGTACGGGGTACTTTATACTTGCTAACATCACTGCCAAATGCCTTCAAACACGTTTGATTATGCAACACTGCTGACCTACACAGCACTAATGCCAGTTTGAAATCAGAACCATTCAGCCTATAGAGATCAAAACTTGAGCAAAAATAATGAGTGAATAAACTATAAAACAGCCAAGATAATCAAAGGAAAGGCCCATTTTCTGTTGTTTCTGTTTTCAGGAATCATCTGCTTTTAGATGTGATGATGCGATTTGGGTTTTACGCAGGTCATAATCAACTCCCCTGTAAATTCCCTTCTTCTGAGGTAACATAGGGCATAGGAACACATGTTTACCCAAACACACTAACATCTCTGCCAATCCTGTCCAGTCATGACTTTCCCTGCAGTGACGATAGACTACACAGCTATGCCTGTAAACAAAACCTGACACCTTCAAAACCCAAACACGCACACAGACACACTGACACACACATTTGCGCTGTGAACTAGTGTCAAAGTTTACTGAGGAAAGATGAGAGGCCTGTCTTCCCTTCATTTAAAACACAACTTTGTGCCTGTTCTCTTTAAATATGTCGCTATTACTTTCAGTATCCATGAAGCCAATAGATGAAGCAATGCATATTTTATGCAACTCTGCAATTAAAATATCACAGCAGTTTTAAACTATCAGGCTTGTTTACATCGCCAATGAGAACAATAAAGGTACCTTTATTAATGTACACACCAAAGCAAGAAATCATTCTGTTTATTATAAATGTATGCTGCAGTTTTGTTGTCTTCCACCTTAAAGGCTGATGTTAATTGAAGCAGGATGAATTTTGATTGAGCAATCAATGTTTTATAGTTTATAACCCTTTTAAAAATATATTATTCAAAAGAATATCCAACAATGGGATTATCCTGTGATGCTATTGCTGTAGTTATGGTGCGGACAAGTGTGATGCATTACAAAATCATTGGAGCTTTTTATGCCAGTCCTTCAGTTCCTCTAGTCATAATCACGTGTAGAAGCAATGCTGTTTTATCATACTTCTTACATTTTAAAGTCTAATAAAATGTACAATATATTAAAGTTTCTTTGGTGTTTCCCTGTTTTCCATAAAACCAAACTGCAAATGGTGTTTGCGTATGACGTCATTAGACAGGGTTTGTGTCACTAGTTAAAACTGCTTATTTCTGGATTTGAGTACTTCAGTCAGCAAAATTTATAACACTGTTCAAGTGGTTTTTGGTCATTTTAACAAAAAACATTTACATAATGCTGTTTTAGGGTGTCTTCACACTTGTAATGCAACTCTTATTTATTTTATCTTATTTACTTTGGGTTCAGAGCAAAAAAAATATACATTTGGTCATGGTTGGTTTAGCATTCACACTGTTATTTTAAAATCTGAACCTAAAGATATACAGTGCTAAGTATACTCGAGAACACCCCTCACAAATCTATCTTTTAAATTCATATTGTTTATAAGAAGCTATGCAATGATATATTTGTGCATACATTAGTCAGTACAGAAGCCAAATCCAGAGCTTATTTAACAAAATAACTTACAATAACACTACAAAAACTAGTACAAATTTATGTTATAGAAAAATATTAAATACAATTAAAAAAAAGAGGAAAAATCAAGAAGCATTTTACCAAATTTAGCTGATTTTTTTTTTTGCAATATTTTGCTTCAATTGACTTGTATTATCTTTCAATTTCGAAATATGTTTGGTGACTAAAATATTATTTTAATAAATACATCTGTTTAAACAATCTGTTTTGTTTAAATGCACCAAAATACATTGCTTATATTCACTGAGAAATTGATAAAAATATTCATTTTTAAAATGGGCTGTACTAAATTATGCTGAGCACTGTAAAGGCTTTTATGATGTATATTCTAGTATTGAATTTAGATAACATCCAAAACAATGATGTGTGCTGTGATAACGGTCTGGGTGTTTGTCCCTTAAAGATTACTGTTTGGTGTTTCCCCTGCTCTGGTGTATGTGTTTGTAAATATATAAATACAGTATGCTTCAATTTACATCCCATCTTATACATTGGACTTAAGTGGCATCAAATGAGAACCAAACTGGTCAGCCTATACAGCTGACAATGCTTCTGATTATCTGCCCTCTTTTGTTCTCTTGTAAATTTATAGTGGTGTCCTTCACTGTCAATTTGATCCCTGCAATGCAGACTGCAATTACCACCTATTTTAAACAACTACACTGTAAATAAACAGGGAGATTACGTCTCTGTCTGACAGCATGTCTTCTAGTGGAAAAAGGCAGTACAACAGTGATTCAGCAGCTATATACTGTGTGAATAAATCCAAGTGTGTTTTAGAGTGTCATGTTTATGTCAGATTTAACACTTAGGGCAGAGGATCTTAGAAATATGTTTGCCTTGGATTCACATTTAAGGTCATGGTTAGTTAATCAACATTAAAATAACTTGAATTAGAGGATAATTAATGAATTTGATCTCACAAATAATTGTGTTTTTTAAGCATACATTCTAATCCATTCTAAAGATCTACACACAATTCCATTTCTAAATTTGATCAAAACTGAAAACAAAGTGAAAACTAATTAAGATATTTTAGGAATGTGTTGTTTTGACCTATTTCAAAATGTTGATCACCCCTTAGTCATTTTATGTATCATTGCATAACTGTTTTATATAGGAACATGGACTTCTTTATCACACACACACACACACACACACACACACACACACACACACACACACACACACACACACACACACACACACACACACACACACACACACACAGCAATGAAGCAACGATCAGTACTTACTAGTGATGAGCGCAACCCCAGACACCATGGAACCGACCCAAGCTGTCATGCCTTTTCCCTCCTGAAAGGCACTGAGCCACTCGGGATACAACACCCCAACAGATTGAGGGGATCCAAAAGACAGAAACTGGGCCATGAATGAAGCCACCACAATCATCCATCCCCATCCACCATCTAAAGTGCTCTCACTCTTCACAGCAGCCATTCTCAGCACTGATGTTACACTGACTACACTTCACACACAGACCTGCTGAAAGAAAAGGAGAAACATCAGGATCATGATGGAAGTACATGTTTCATATGAAGTATTCATGCAAAACTATTTTCAATTTATCTTGCAAGAATGCCGCATGTGCCTTTAGATTTGCAATAGCCTATGTTTAAACTGAATCATCTTATAATAACCATACATTTTAGGAACAACTGTAGGCTACATAAAAGTCATTGTATAATAGAAATACAATATTGGAGGGTTCACTTAAAGCATGCCATATCTGAAAGCATAATATATGCAAAACTATTTCTGAATATAATTCTGCAGGAATGTTTTATGTAATTATATTTGCAATACACTAGTAACTAGCCCATACTTTTTTGGTATAACTAGGCATTAAAAGTCAATGTATAATAGAAACTAGACAGCAATATAGAACTACAAATTATAACAGGCTTCGCGTGCATGATTTTCGCCAATTATACCAGAAAAGAATGTGAAAGTTAAAGGTAGGCTATTTGAGAAGCTGTGAAACTTACTGCAGGTGGATGTTGCTCTTACTCGCAGAGCGCTGAACCGCTCGTGCCCGCTGGACCAGAGGCCAGTCTCTCACGCGCTCCTCCGCTGAATACCTTCTCCAGCCCAGAATCGCGCACCGGCTCGTTTTGAACACTCCTGAACACAGACCACACCTAGAAGGGGGAGAGACCACCGACCGGACTGCCCTGTTCCCTTTATATTCGTCCAAAACATTTTTTTAAATCCCGCAGTCGCGAGGAGAATTGGTGCAGTTTGTAGAGCGCGCACCCACCTATCTCTCTCTTCAGTGCGCGCACGGCGGCGCAACAGACGCGCGCTGAAGTTTCTCCTCAACTCTTATGACAATAAACAACCACTTAAATCAGGAACAAACATTCACGTCTGTGCTTTAGAGTATATGTGCTTAATAGAAGCCTATATTTTGTTCTTTCAAGAATTGGGGAACTTGCGTCTTACCACCAGAGGAGCAAAGTGAAGTGGTGACAGGAGAGGTGCTTTCAAAATTAAAACGCACTTTTCAGGTCTTCTTTTATTTTTTATCAATATTAAGTCGCAGTTAGAGCACGACCGTGACCGCGTGTATTTTTCTCAGCGTGCGCCCTTTTATCCGGTGATATGAAGAACTGGTTTGAAGCTGTTCTTACCGGCCAGACTCGTGATGAGTCACAGAAACCAAACGACCGAGCAAAGCAGTGTGGTGGAGGTCCACTCAGAAGCGTTTGGATTTATGGGAACTTTAAAATGCGTCTTAAAACGAGACGAAAATTATGGCAGTATAGAATTTTAAATCAATTCTATAATAGAAAATAAGTATTGTTTTATTTTACCACAGCACAAACCTGCTGATTCAGCCTCCTCCGCAGTTTGGTAACTGTAGAGGGTTTCTGTCATAACTTTGCCACTAAGGATTTTCCAGAGATTTTCAATCAGATCTAGATCAGGACTGTGTCATCCCCATTTTATTTATCTCTTTCGCTGTGATGGGGCTCATACTTCTGCATGAAGGTTGATGGCTGATGGAGTGATGAATGCAGGGAAAGAACCACATGTTGCTGAAGGAGCTTCTCATAAACATTTGCATTCACCCAGTCATCTGTATAAGAGGCTGCTGCAGAAAACACCTTCACTTTCTTCTGCACACACCTTAGGTTCAAGTCTTCCCCCAGTTTCTCAATAAATGTAATGCTTCAAAACAAAACAGAGCGAAAGAAAGGCTTACCAGTTATTCCTTTCTACCCATTACTATTAAACTGCTTAATAACATCAATACACATATTAGTCAATTACATGACACTAACGCAATGTATATTGCCAAGTAGACGTGGTCAAGATAATCTGCTAAAATGCAAACCAAGCATCAGAGCAAAGTTATTTAGGTGACTTTGAACATGGCTTGGCTTGCCAGATGGTTTCCAGTAACTTGATAAATCAATGCCAGGAAGAAATAAAGCAGTTCTGAGGGCACAAGGTACAAGCTAGATTTACTTATCAAGTGGCAGATGGGTGATAAAATGTAGGTAAGTACACATAAAAAAACAAATACAGTCCCAAACCTAGAACTGCTTATTTAAAAACATTGATTTTCAAGAGAATGTATAGGCAAATATGCTCATCATTAGCTTATTTGAAGGCAGTACTACAGTATAATGAAATATCTGCAAAGCTGAAGATATTTAAGGACATGTTCAGACTAGGGGCCACAGAGCAAACTGCATAGGACCAGACTTCTGTCAGAGCCTAAACTTAAACTTCTTCCCACCCTTCTCTGCTCTCCGTCTGGGTGGTCGGCTGAACTTTTGTGATGGGCGAGAGCGGGAGGGTCAGACGGCTTGGGCTTTAAGCCCACCGAGATCCTGTTTCTGCCCCGTTCTTGTACTCGTTCCCACACACACATAAAACGAGAGGTAGAGTCCTCCCCTCCCGTCTCCGTAATCCCCTCTGACATGAAAAGAGTGAATAAAAAGCAGCGCGGAAAGAACAGAACAGTTAATTGCATTTGCCTCATATCACCTTTTTGGACAACATCTCATCTTCTTATTCAGCGTGACTGCAGCCTGCAGGGCTCTGGGAAACCGATGGGAGGCTTCTGGAAGGAACACACACTTGGAATAAAAAGGCTGCTTAATAAGAAAACACAGCACTTGACATAATGGATAGAGGAAGTTCATCTACAGTACCAGTTAGAAGGTTAAGCACATCTGCACAGACATAGTTTCTACTATTTTGCACATTTTAGAATAATTGCAAACCCACCAAACTCTGAATTAACCAGTGTGTGCATTAAGCAGTGACTAAAACAGTGTTAAGCAGTAAATTCTTGAGTGTTTGACTTACTAACAGAGCTACAAACCTCTTGGCAGCATCTCAAAACTTTACAAGTAGCTACTTCAGTTGCTTTTACAGTAGTGTTGAAGTAGTTCCCATGCATGTTGGGTACTTTTTGGTTGTTTTTCCTTCACTCACTAACGCACTTTTCTTTTTAGAGGTACACTGTGTAGCTTTTGGTTCTCCAGCATTTAATTAACAAAACTGCATGTGACTTGTGAAAGAACATTGCTTTGTTTTGCAGGTTTGATGGTCTGCTTTAGTGCTGTCTCAGCAGAAGTGTGCATTGAGGGTGAATAGCAACTGCTGAAGAGATGCTGGAAAGCAAAGCTAGAATAATGAACTGCACACACTATGATCTTGTGGAATTAATTGCCACGTGGCAAGTCTGCTCAAGCACATGACTTGTGCCATGTGGGTTTGGGCCATTAAAAATCTACAAAGGAAATCATCTAGGGTGGTAAGAATTATGCTCCGATTTTGAGTTACTAAAAAAAATGACAAAAGCTCTGATCCTCTTTGAATTAAACACAACCAAACACAGCTCGAGATGACTACACTACCTGACAAAAGTCTTGTCACCTACTCAAGTTTTAGAAACAAATAATACCTTGACTTGGTATCAGAAGTGGCTTATATAAAAAGGCAAAGGCCTCTAATTACGCTTATTTTACCAGAATAAAATATGATCATGTCTTGATTTTAAATTATTTAATTAGGACAGTCAGATCTGACTTTGCTTAGACAAAAGTCTTGTCACTTAACTGAAATAATGTCCAGTACAGAATATAAAGTCATGGTGCAGTGGGAAAAGAATTAATATTGTGTATGACTCCCATGAGCTTGGAGGACTGCATCCATACATCTGCAATGACTCAAATCACGTATTTAAGTAATCTGGATTGGCAAAGAAAGTCTTCATGCAGGACTCCCAGAGTTCATCAATAATCTTTAAATTTGTCTTTAATGCCTCCTCCTTCGTCTTACCTCAGACATGATGTTCATGTCTGGTGACTGGGCTGGCCAATCCTGGAACACTGACCTACTTTGCTTTCAGAAACTTTGATGTAGAGGCTGAAGTATGAAAAGGAGCACTATCCTGCTGAAGAATTTGCCCCCTCCTGTGGTTTGTAATGTAATGTGTAGCACAAATGTCTTGGTACCTCAGGCTGTTGATGTTGCCACTCTGTAGATCTCTCGCACATCCCCATACTGAATGTAACCCCAAACCATGATTTTCCTTCAACAAACACAAACAGTATTTGTGATGATTGGGATGCAGTTCAACAGATCTACCTTCTGCCACTGTTACAAATGATCAACTAGAAGTCAAGTTATTATTTGTTGCTCTTACAACTGGGATTGACGTCAAGACTTTTGTATATATACTTATAGTATATAGTATATCTTGACAAATGAAGATATTAATTTAACAACTTATTATCAGGTTCCTGAAAACAAACATCACAACACTACAAAAAAAAATAGTTTAATTAAGATGTATTATGGATACTTACTATTGAGGCATTTTGCTATTGAGGCATTTTGCATAGTCAGTATTACTCCACTAACAAATGCCTTTCAGTTACTCCCACATCATGCACAATCAATCTGGTCTACAAAGCATTTAGGCTAACCATAGTGATTCACTGCAAGACAAAGGGATGCTTTGGAAGATGGATTCATGATGTACTCCTTTCATATTTGTTAATTTTTTAACTATTTAAAACTAAATTTGAGATGTTTTGCCAATAAACAAGGATTAAATTGCAATCTAAAATGTATTTACGAAATCCTGAGAGCTGTTAAAGAGCAAATTTAACCTTGATGGGCTACTGTGCATCTTGATTTTCCATTTGTGTGAGAGCATCAGTGAAGATTTAGACATAAAATAGCATTTGCTTTAATTTAGTTTGGTTGATTCGCTGTATTATTAATCATTAATTCCATACTTATCAAGAGCTTTTTAGGAGATTTTCTTGTAAAAACACACTGGAATTACAGGAAATCTGAAAAACAAAAAGTGCAAGAGCGACATGATCTCCATGTTTACTATGAGTTTTCGTTTCCTCTTTTCAGGAATGCTGACGCGTGTTTTTTCAGCTCCACTGGCATATAAGGAGAACACAAACATTAGCGACCTCTGTACCAATATCCTGACACTCCCTTCCCTTTTCTCCCCCTCTTTCTCTTGTCCTTGTCTCTTGTCTATTGACCTTATTACACATTCAGCATCTCCTGATGTTTACGGTCTTCCTTTGCGCCTCCATTCATATCCTTAAAACAGATCAGCAGTAAATCAAAACCCTGAGGGAATGGAAAAAGAAGACCTCTCTGTCTGAAGACTGACGCAGGACAGGGGAACTTTTAGAGCGGTCACTGAGCTGCTTAAATTAGCACTTGCATCTAACTTAACACATACTGAGCATCATAGAGGTGCAACTAAACTAACATGTTCAAATTTGTATTATAATCTTTTTTTCCCATCTCACATTGTTAAAAAAAGGAAAGAAACAAGGAAATTAAAGAAATAGCTCATCCAAAAATGAAAGATTACTAATTACTCACCCTCAAGTGGTTCCAAAGCTTTATGTTTATTTCTTCTGTTGAACACCGATGAAGATATTGTGAAGAAAGCTGAAAACCTGTTATCATCCACTTCAATATTAGGAAAAAACAAATAGTATGGATGTCAATGGTCATAAATTTCCAACATTTTTGCAAATATCTTCTTTTGTGGTTTGAAAAAAGTAAACAATAACAGAATTTTCATTATTTTGAGTGAACTATCCCTTTAAGCCATAATTAATGAGTCATTATTTCTAATTTACAGTTCTAAACAGTAAATATCACGAGCCTTGCTGATTGTCCCACACCTGTTGAACTAGTCACATGGTTATGTAAGTGGTAGTTCTGTCATGACCACGAACATACACCAAAGTGTGTGACTTTAACTCTTCCTCAGATCAGACCGGATTGCTGAGGGTCAGTTTCACCCCTCTGACCACTTCAGCCTGACAGAACCGGTCTGAACCTGGTAAGAGTGCCAGAAAGCGGCACAGGACAGCTTATGCTGAAATACTTCTGCAGGGATTACCACACAGCTACACCACTCTCAGTGTGTGTTTGTGTGTGACATTTAAGAGGGCAGGTTGGAAAAAATGATACTGGAAAACTGTTTATTGCCAAATAGGTGTGCAAAACTACCTGATACGTCCATGTCCTCAAACGGGCTGACGTCATGCCAATGTCCGGCTGTTTGTTCGTATGCACTGGGGGTCAGAGGTCAGGAGACAACATTGCCAGCAAAGCTGTAATGAAAACGAGAGCATGTTTTACAAGTTACCGTTCACACACCTCTTTGGTTTTGTGAACAGATAACAGAGGTTAAGCGTTACATAATACCACACGCAGACAAATCACAAAAAAACATGTGCTCATGCTATGTTAGGAATCAAGACATAGTCGTAATGACCAAAGTCTGCAGAATATCAGCCCTCCAGGACAGAGTTTGGGCACCCCGGTTTAAAGCATGAGTGTCAAACTTAGTTCCTGGATGGCCACATCCCTGTACAGTTTAGTTACAACTCTGCCCCAGCACACTTACCTGTAGTTTTCCAACAAGCCTGAAGGACTCAATTAGTTTGATCAGGTCTGTTTAAGCTAATCTGTGCAACGCTGGGTTTGACGCCTGTGGATTAAAGTGATAAATTGTCTGCGTTATTGTAAATTACAGTACAAAAACCTGTTAGTAAACTGCCAGGAATGCTGTCATGTCAATATGAACCAAAATCTGAGGAATGTTTCCAACAAGGTACTAGAAATATTCCTCAGAGATTTCACTCCATATTGACATGATAGCATTACACAGTTGCTGTAGATTTGTTGGCTTCACATCCATGATGTGAATCTCCTGTTCCACCACATGCCAAAGGTGCTCTACTGGATTGTGGAGAGTGTGCATGAAAATCCCAGTAGATCAGCATATTCTGAAATATTCAAGACCAGCCCACCTGGCTTAAACTACAATTCCATGTTCAAAGTCTCTTAAACCAGCTTTCCTCTCCATTCTGATGCTCAGTTTGACCTGCAGCAGATTGTCTTGACCATGTCTACAAGCCTAAATGATTTGCTTTCATTTGATTGGCTGATTAGAAATTTGTGTTTATAAGCAAATGCACCGGTGTACCTACAAAAAAGTGGCTGATGATTGTATAAATATTTTGTATGCAATACATTTTCCTAAACATTTTACACAATGAATCACTTCTGAGAACAAAGGGGTATCCAACTTTATACAATAGCAAGTTATACCTAACAAAATGGGCAGTAAATGTGTACATAATTTAGTTTTATGGTCACACTTTACAATAAGGTTCATTAGTTAATGTTAATGTATTTACTAACACGAACAAACAATGAACAATACATTTACTACTGTATTTGTTCATGTTAGTTAACGTTAGTTAATGAAAATACAGTAGTTCATTGTTAGTTCATGTTAACTCATGGTGCATTAACTAATGTTAACAAGCACGGACTTGGATATTAATAATGCATTAGTAAATGTTCAATTATGATTGATAAATGCTGTACATGTGTTGTTCATATTAGTAAATGCATTAACTAATGAACCTTATTGTAAAGTGTTACCAGTTTAATATTTTTAACATTATATTTTTATCATTTGAAATTAGTGATTAACTAGCCATGTGTATATTAATTGTTAGATTTAGTCATTTAATAATTTCCCCTCATATTTAGGATTTTAAACCTACTGCAACTTTTCAAAAAAAATATATATATATTTCCAAAAAATATTTAAGTTTTTCCTTAAAAAAAGTATTTAAATTTCAAAAAACAAGATAATGTTTCAAACTCACATAAACCCTGGTTAGCAGATCTCAAAATGTCAAAATAGCAGAAACGTGATCTATCAGTCATGAATTTAGATGCCTTCCTTTAGGACCTGGCTGAAAAATAAAGGAAAGAGAGCATAATATTCCTAAAATATTGGGGTTAGTACATTTTACAAACATAATTCTGTCACTCGAACAAACAATTCAAATAAAACAAAGCACACGCACAAGACTTTTGTACAAGCATTTAATCATGTTGAGTTAATTGTTCAACAGTACCTTGTTTTGTTGCATCAACATGTCTGTTCGTGTTCAGGTGTTATATGACACTGGCATTAAGCAAAAATCCCCATCTGATTAAGCATTGAGGACGCTCACTTTACAGCGAGAGCTCTGAGACAGATTGAGCTGCTGATCAGAAACCAGTTTTGACTTTGTTTTTTCGTAGTGGATGATGTTTGGATTCTAGCAGGGAGAGACTGGTCCCAGACCAGCAGTCGTGGGAAACCTCTATGGCTGTGCAGACACACGCAAACACCCGCACACACACACACACACACACACACAAACACTACAATGCTACTATAATACACACGCAGAGAGGCAACAAGTGCTCTTGCAGTACATTTCAGTCTGCTTTCTTTACCATCTACATGCTGCCAATGAGAGCCACACGCGCACACTTCTGTTTCACAAACACAAACTGCCTAAAACAAACAGACAATAAAACTAAAGAAAAACATTTTACTGCCGCCCCCATGGCAAATGTGCTCAGATACAGGCCTTTCAGCCTTGTCATATAAGAATCATATATCATCCAATTGAACGTGTTGTCGTTTATTAAATGACACAATTTTGATTAGCATTTAACAGTTGATCTGTTAAAACGATTAAGATTGAACAGGGGCAAGGGACAGACGTCCCACAAACAAAATGCAGACATAGGCAGCTGACAACTCTCTCTTAAACCTTCTCAATCATTTCCAAATACCAGCTCAATCACTTCACTGAAAAAAAAACCCAGTAAGAATAACAAAATTTAACGGCATGGGGCTGGTTATGGACCTGTCAGTCGGCCAAGCATCTACACAATCTCACTTTTCACATTCCCAGTCCAACTGTCCTCTAAATTCCACATCCGCTCCAATCCCTTCCAACCTTTGCCCAGTGGAGAATCACTGAGTTGTTGTTGCTGCTGCTGTTGTTGTTGTTGTAGTAGAAGTAGTATAGCCTAGCTTGGAGCAGCCTAGCTTAAGGTAGCGCACGGTGCATGCATTAAGGCTGAGAAAGGGGGTTCTGTGATGTCACAGAGTGGGAGGAGCCGGACTGAACCATGGGCTGTGGAGGAGGAGGAGGAGGATGCTGTGCTCCAGAGTGTGTGTTCGGGGAGGGAGGAGGCGTCGGGCGCTTGAACTTATCTGGGCTGGTGCTTCTCCTTGGGGACGGCCTCTGTGTGATGAGAGAGAATAAAACACAAGCTCATGATGAGATGTACACTGCTGTACAACAGTTGAAGAAAATTCAAGTCAAAATTAACACTTTAAGCAATCATCAATTAAACTGACACCCAACTTTGGTGTCCACAAGCACCTTCTTTCTAAAACTCTAACAAACTCTTGGAGAACCCAAATCTAGTACAATTTACAAATTAATTACACAAATCAGCAACTGTAGTTTCTAACAACAGTGGTCATGCTTTTGCTAAAAGTCACACGGTATTTTCAAAAGCCACTTACATAATTCAATTAACTTCCAGCAAGAAGGAATAAGGTGCTCAACTACACATGCATATTACCTGAAAACTAGATGCTAGGGCTGCACGCTATTGGAAAAATCTAACATTGCGATATTTTTTTTATTTTGCAATATGAATACAATTTAACCAGATGAATTCATATCTCTATTATGAAAGAATGTATAATGTAAGATGGATTGGGATGATTCTGCAGTGGGAGTGCATCTTCATAAAGTCTAATAAACAATCTATAAAACTCTTGAGGCCCACCGACACATTTTCATTGTGGTCAGTGCTTTTTGCAGTGTGTTTCTGTATTTGCATGTGTTGTGAGTATTTTCACACAAAACAATTTATAAACACAATCAAAAAAATACAACCAAAATTGTTTATCATTTTCTGATTCTAACAGTATTCAAGTACAGTAAGGAATGATAAAAATTAAAATAATTAAATACATTTACTAACAAATGGTACAATTACTTTTACCTGAATGCTTTTAAGGTCAAAAAACAATTACAGGTATCAAAAACACATGCAAATGATGAACTATAATACAAACTATAAATAAAAATAGTTTGATAATAAACTATTAATAAATAAAATGAATAAAAAATCTATATATTGTGAAGCCCTAGTAGATGCCAATATTACGAAGAGCATTTACGATTAATAATTTTTTTTAATTTATTCTGGACTTAATTTTAATGGCTACAACAATTTTAGCAATTAAAAAACATGTCCAATTCTTTTAAACCACTGAATGCATTTACGCATTTACGCATTTATTTATAAACCTATAAAAATGGTTGTGTATGTGTTTCGATGGAAGTTTCTTTATAGTAACTCTATTTATAGTAGGGCTGCATGATATAAGAAATGTTTTTTTTATTCTGCAATATGTATAGGGATATGTATACAATTTCACTAAACTACTAGAATTTATAATTTTAGATTTATTGGAATAATTCTGTATAAAAAATATAGTAAAACAACCCAAGAGCCTAGATATATTCAATAAAGAAAAAGATGCAAATTAAATGAACAGCATTTTTTTCCGAGGAGTCAAACTGTATTCAGGGATTCATGTAATAATCAATCTAAATAATACAGCATAGTCTTGATATAACCAATTCAATACATTGTATCGTTATTATATGTATTAAAAGATACAAACGGTACAATTTCTTATGCCTGAATGCTTTTAAAATCCTCATTCAGTCACAGCCCTCAAAATACAATTGTGAAATGATCAATTATAATGCAGACTTAACATTGCATATCCTGCGATGTGACTGGCGAATGATCACTTTGCAATAATGATGCTGAAACGATATATTAGAGCAGCACGATTTGGCTAAAATGAGAATCAAGATTGTTTTGCTTATAATCAAGATGACGATTTTCTCAGGATTCTGTTGATGTAAAATAAAGGTTAATATGAGTGGGCTATTATTAATGTTATTTCTCAAACATATGGTAAAACAACAATAATATTAGGCTTACATATAGGTCCACTGCCGGTTAAAATGCAAAATTTTGTATAGACTTGGAACAGTGGACTTGATGTGTCTTGGTTGTTAATTCACAGTAAAGTGATGACATCAGAACACAATTATTCATAATTCTGAAGTTGAATAATTATGTTTGAGACATATGCTTATCATTTGTCATTGACAACATTATTAGACCATTTTTTCCAGTAAAATTAAACATTTGTCAATATCAGATTCCCTCTTACATTAAATTCAACATTATATGGCAGGGGTGGCCAACCCTGTTCCTGGAGAGCCACCTTCCTGCAGATTTCAGTTGCTACCCATATCAAACACATCTGAACCAATTAATTAGGACCTGAACACCAAGTGATAATTACAGGCAAGTGTGTTTGATATGGGTTGCAACTGAAATCTGCAAGAAGAAGGCTCTGCAGGAACAGGGTTGGCCACCCCTGTTATATAGGCTAGAGTAGTTAAACTGACCTAGTAAATATTTTTTTTATGCACAACACTTTGTCTTAGCTATGAAATGAAAAAAAAAAAAACATCAAATGCTTGTTGAATTTATGACTCTAAAATACGATATGATCATTTAAATGATGTGCACGCTATCGGTTTCACTTTCACTGCCAAGTGTGGCTCATGTCATGGACGCAGTCACTTTGAGAAAAAAAACACACACATGCAAATCATACTTCATGTGCGGCACCCAAATGATCGCTCTGTGCAACAAATTGAATGTTTTTTACAACTTTATTAGCTGTTATTCCCAGCCTAAGTAAATTCTGTTCACTAAAGTAGACATCATTGGCAGGCACGCGTGCGTCCTCTCGGTAATAGACTAACAGTGCATCAGCTTAGAGATCTGCGCGGGACTAAATTTTGAATCCCGCTCCCGCCCGCACCCGCCAGGTTTTAGCCGCAACCCGACCGCTCCCGCTTATATTAAGCACTTGATGTCCCGCTGCCCGCCCCGCCCCGTTTTCTATTCGCCGCGCCCGATCCCTGCTAAAGAGCGGGGGGAGAACAAAACCGAAAATCCCCCAGTTATACAGTCCAGACAGCCTATAACAAGCTGTCTGTATAAACACACACACGCACAGCACCAAGCACACACACACAGACAAAGCTTTCTCTCTCATTCGCGCGCCCTCTAACACACACTCATAAGCACCAAGCACAAACACAGGCAAAGCTCTATCTCTCATTCGCGCGCACACGCACACACACACATATATCTCTCATTCGCGCGTGCGCATACATACACACACACTGCAACAAACAAGCTAAACACAGCATCGCGCTATTTCATTTACACACATACATACGCGTGCTCACTCGGGAGTCGGGAGCGATATTGCTAGACAGCCCGCTCCCGTCCCAAGTTAAACCCGTTACCGACCGCTCCCGTGATTTATTCGGAAATTTATACCCGTGCCGTAGAAATCTGGTCGGGTCCCGCGGGAATGCAGACCTCTACATCAGCAGCTGATGAGTAATTTCGCGGCCCCGAATGCATTATCACATTAAGACAGAAATGACATTTTAGGGTGAATTATACCTTAAGTATGTGACACTTAACATAATTTGGAGGTGTCCATGTGGCTGAGCAAAAACAAAGTAAAGACTTGTGAAAAAAGCTTAATTAAGATCGTGTGCAGGGTCTAATCGAGATTGCGATCTTTTTTGATTAATCGTGAAGCCCTACAATATATCGTGCAGTTTAATTTATAGCTAGAGTTGGTAGCCTACTTTACACATAATCAAATTATAAAGCATGCATTATAAACTAATATAACTAATAATTTTATCTCTCTCAACAATGTGATTTTGACCTAGTGACTTTACAGTAAGTGTTTACAGTAATAATACAGCACATATAATATGCATTGCTGTCATCACACCTAGTTTATTTGACATATGAGAGTGTTTACATGTGCAAACAGAGTGTGAAAGTACAACTCTGGCCCCTATGAATGTGTTGGAAGGGTCTGGCTCTGCTGTCACTCGTGGTTTTATCAAAACAACCTGATTTTCATGGCACTGCGGGACATGAAAGTGATCCAGCCGCTGTTTGCTTAAACAAACAGATCACTGTTGCTACAGCGAACAGCTCCCCAATGGGAAAATATAGTCCAGTGTTCAAACGGCTATCAGGGAAGCAAAATCTGGCAAAAATCATTTGTGTCATGAATTAGCAACTAATCCAAACCTGTCACTGAATGTTATTCTTTGAAAGCCTGAGCCGGTCACCCGTGTAGTAAGAAGTTCAAATTCTCTATTACCTAACCAAATCAGTTGAGATGCCACATCAGGCCATATCTGTCCGAAAGTATACTGCATCAAGGTCAGGCGGTTTTATTACAATGAGGGATTACAAATGCTAATCCTAAAATTTTAGAGTACCACTTTCATTCTGTCCACATAATACACTTGCATTGAAATACTATATGCTATTTTTTATATACACATATTTTTGGGCCCTATCATACACTCGGTGCAATAAGGCGCAAGAATTGTTGGTGAGATTTGTTGCTTTTTTCAGACTAGCGCAACCCTAATTTCCATGTTTTGCAGCACGTTGTTTAATTAGCAAATCCATTTGCATTACTTTGTGGACTCATGGGTGTGCTGGTCTAAAAAGGAGGTGTGTTAGGGCGCATTGTTGGTGTGTTGCTACTTTGAGGAACTGAAATAGACTGCACCATCGACCAAGTAAAAGCTGGTCTAAAGTCCAGCACAGAGCACATTAGTTATGTGCCTAGGCAGGTTCAAACGCTTACACATTGCTTAATATACAGCATATACAGTAGCAATACATAAATGTCTTTACATATGAAAGAAAATAAAGGATTAAAATGTTACAGAAATTATTATTTTCAACATAAATAAAACCACTGCCTCCATGCCTTCTTTATGTCTGGTGGCTTTTTTCAGCTTATTCTTTTCATTTTGCATTATTATTATAATATTATCTATAAGTATTATTTATTAAATGCATATTTCTATTTGTTTGGATAAAAACAAGTTTAGATTTGTTCACCTGTTGGGCTTTGGAGAAGTCTGCATCAACATATGGGGCATAAGAATAGGATGTGTGTTTGAACAGAACTCAGATTTGTGACCACACTTCGTTTTTATTGTTCATTTAGTCGTTTGCTGGAAATTAGAACTGAATTTAGAAATAGTTTTAAAACACATCTTTGAGCTTAACAAATGAAATTAAATATGTAGGCTAATGGGTGTCTTCAGTGGAGTGCGTTTCCACTGTTTCCTTTCTTCACTAAAGTAAAGGAGTAAAATAAAAATTGAAAGTAAAGAGGCCGAATGTAGGAGGCTTGTTCTTTATCCTCGCACAGCAGCGAGGACCATGCACACCATGCACTTTAGACTTTGCAGCTAGATCGTTTAAATAGAGCCCTTAAAGGTTGTATGCTTCCCATTGGCATTTTTAGTAATTTAAATAATTTATTTGTTTTTTATTGCCACATTAGCAACTTATGGCTATTTCATTTCAAAGTCATTTAAAGTAAATACTAAAGCTTTTATTTTAACCATCCTGACACTGACACCTCCAATAGGGAAACAGAGGCTGTGCAATCTGCTAATAAATTGCATGTTATGTATGGGTCATATATCGTGTCACCAAAAATAATTGATGTCATGTCCAGGTGTTGTGCGATAGGCCGATATATTGATTATTGTGACGGGTCTAACTTTAACAACAACTACATATTTCAATAAGAGATGCAACCTAATAAATAAATACATAAATAATAAATTAACCAGAAAAATAGATATGGCTTTTCAGTTCAATTACTGATAAATAACTCAAAATTGTTTGTGGAAATACAGTTTTTAAAGAACATCCATCAAAGTCCTGAGAGTATGAAAATCTTTTGTAGAAGTCTTTTAAAATGTTACCATTTACTATAATCTAGGTTATTTAAACAACACTGTGTTAAAACTTGCAATGAGTCATCCAATTACAGGAAGGAGAGGGGTTATGTAATGTTCTTGGCCAGTCAATCACTTCATCAAAGTCTCTACTGGTAAATAGAGGGGTCATATTTGTGCAACCGACATAAACACCAGGCTGGACTAATTGCTGCTGTGACGAGGCTAGTCTTGCACTACTGGCCTCAGTTCAACTGGACAATATCCAGAGAGTGTTGCAGAACATGCCTAAGCTAAAACTGAGGCTGGTTAAAATTGTTACTTCACTCTTGTACATTTATAGATAACTTATTTATCTGCTAACATTAAACATGATAAAGTGACACATTAAATCCACATGGCAGTTGTTAAATGTTACCAAATGGCTTGAAAGGAATTATAAACCAACCTTCAAAAATCTAGGGTCAATATGATTTTTAAGGAATGGTTTTAAAATGAATAATTATGCTATCCACTCATTTCAAACCTAATTTCATTTCTTTCTTGTGCTGAAAATAAAAGGTATTTTAAAGAAAGTTGAATACTGGTTGCTACTGATTTACAGTTTTAAGCTTAGGCACCCCTCTGTGGCTGCATAATTATATATTCCTTCTTTAAAAGAGAAGATCACAGTGAAACGCAATTCGGTTTCTAGTAAAAGCTAGATGATTTTATGTTTTTCAGACAGAAATCTGTAGTGTAGCAGTATTGAAGTGTTAAATTAAAAAACTGAAAAATAGGCTATACAAAAGTTTGGACACCTTTTATTTGTGTGCATTACAAAACCTCTTGTCATTTATTGCTGATTGATTACAACACAAAAATGATTTAAGTGACTCAGTGAACCCTAACAATCCTGACACAGGTGCAACCAATAATAAAAAAGGATATTTAAGATAGCTGATTATAGCCAGATAATATTTCAATGAATCAATAACAACAAAACACACTTTAAAACCACTTAAGAATGAGTAAATGGCAAGTTAATATTAATTTTGGAGTGAAACGTTTAGCATACTGAAACAATTTCTGTTGGGAGACTGAATTTCAAACAGCATCTAAAAATGAACAAATACTGTCTCAGAAGTTTAACTGTTCTCACAGCAGTTTTTATTTATTTTTAAAGCAGATTTGGTGACAATAAGAGATTTACTGAGCTCAAATGTATAATGGTTTTGTATAGAAACAACAGAAAATATTAGAAAAGATTTGAATTTTAAACATTACAATGTGACCTAAATTACTCCACAGCGTCCCTGAATGACAGGAAGCGTGATAACAGAATGTCCAGGTCTTGTCTGAAATGGAATGAACCTGACACACATTCAGACAAACTATAATGTAATTTTTAAACTATTTCTGTCTGATATGCCTAACCATTACTGCCATTTGACTCCTTTCTTACATAATGCCAAGTATGATGAATAAACTACCCGTACACTAAATAGTCAACCTTTAAATCACAACCATTTTTAAGACAAGACTGAAAGGGGGAAAAAAAGTCATTCATAAACATGCTTTGCTTTAAGATTGACAAGCATAGTAAAATTATAGAGATAGTTCACCCAAAAAGGAAAAGTTACTGGCTTCCTGTCAGTTCTGAATTGATTTTAAAATCCTTATGCATGTGTGCAAGGCTTTGAATGGTCCAGCACCACAATATTTATCTGAGCTTTTTAATCCCATGCACTCCTAGATGTGCTTTATGTTTGTCTGATGCTGGTCTTTTAACTGCTCAGTCAGTGCAGATAAAATCTATGGGAGACCAGGAGTTCTCTTCATTGGCACCTAAATTGTGGAAATCTTTACCCTCTGATATTTGCAATACATAGTATTTTTAAATCATCTCTTAAAACTTACTTTTTTGAGGTTAGCTTTTATTTGATTTTTAAATCTATTGCTACTATTTTATGTGTTTAAATATTTTGTATTATGCTATTTTTTATGTTATGTATTATGATATTTTGCATTCATCCCTGTATCTTTTACCGCTGCACATTTTATGTCTTTACAGTGCCTTGGGATGCTACTTTCAAAGGTGCTATCAGCGCTTCCCACAGGTTTAAAATATACTTGCGATGGTACCCGGATTGAAACACACTTTTTACCCACAGCACATGGTTACCTACTTGCGATAAAAAGGTATTTTTAACAATATTTTTATTTATAATGACACTGTTATACACAGCTTCTTTTCAATGGGTGGAAGTTTAAAAAAGACTGTTAAAAATAAAAAAAGAAATCCACTATTCGTTTTACATCTATTCTAGACAGGAGCCAGATGCACTCCCTGCATGTAACATTTTGTACAGTATTGTCAAAGCATGTTAGATATGTATAAAACATGCCATCATCAAATAAAAAAAAAAATACAGCAAATTAGAAAAAATGACAAAGGAATAAAAACAGAAAATATCTTTTAAAAGTATAATAAATGCTAGAATAAAACGTGTTGATTATTTAAAGAAGGCAAATTAGTTTAGAAACCATTTTTAATATTGTACAAATATTTTGTAGCCAGTTTAGATGTTATTTCCTCCTTTTGGAGTATATAGAAAAGTTTATTCGAGGCATTTATATCAAATTAATTATTTAATGTTTCTCTCGCTTTTGCGGCTGGCTATCAGCTGCGAAGCCAATATTATCAGAATTAAGAATATAAACTCATACATTTACCAACAACTTTAGAAAACTGAACCAAAAGTAAAATCCCGGACATTTTAGAAGATTTAGAATCGGCCATTAATAAACCTGGGGGATAGCGCTGCGCTATCTAAAAAAAGGAGTTTCAGGAGTATTCAGGAGTTTTTTTATTCTGTTTAACAAAAAAGAAGCTCTGAAAGCTGTTAGAAAATTGTAACCATTGACTTCCGTAGTAGGTAAAACAATTACAATGGAAGTCAATGGTTACAGGTTTTTCAGATTACATTCTTTTGTGTTTAACAGAAGAAACACTCAAAAAGGTTTAAAACTAGGATGAGCACATGATAGAATTTTCATTTTTGGGTAAACTACCCCTTTTAATGGTCAAATCATTGATGCCTGAGAGGCAAGTTTAAAAAAAATAAATGAAATTTTTTAAAAGTTTAAAAATTAGACCATCATAATCTGTGACGGGTACTGCTGGATGTTTGTTTTCAGCAAGTTTGATATCTTATCACTGTTTTCTCCATTTTGATTTATTACAATCTGGGTTACATAATACAAGTGACAGGGCACTCTTGTGTTTGCGATCGATAAGATTAAGCAGAGTAAATTCTCTAATGAAGGACGCCCTACTATCTTACCAAACAAAAAGGTCAGAATACACAGCATAGAAGGAGAAAGAAGGCAGCTTTTGTGCTTTATCTTATTTGGACGGCGGAGGTTTCCCAGAACTTGGCTTTGCTTTTTTTAAAAGCATTGTAAGCCAAGTGGATCCCCGAGACAATAGGTGGCAATGGTTCTGTGATCTACTTTGGGTTAAGACCCTTTTGGAAAATCCAGGCCTGGTGTTTATTAACTTAGACATTCAAAGACGATGAGGAAAATCACCCTCGGGTCAAGTGTCACCAGGTGATTCACACTGGAGTCATTCCAATGTGTCTTTGCTTATCTAAAAACAGGTAATCCATGATAGAAGCTGCTTTATGCGTCTCATACATACTGCTCATCATCAACATGTGTGTGTTTATATACATCTTAGGCTTGTGTGTATGTACCTGTACAGAGTGTGAGGGTCCTGGGTGGATGTGCAGGCCAGGAGACGTGTAGTGGGGAAGCGGTGCTCGGCTCAGCGTGGCTGGAGGAGTGAAGCCAACCGTGTGACTAGCGTACGACAAACCTGCAACAAAAACAGAATCTGCTAATCACATTCAATCAGATCCTTCGAATTTCTATAGTGACACTAAAGATATAAATGGGTATAGGTAAAGAACCCCCAAAAAGAACTGACATATGATGTACTATGGCTGTATCAAATGTTATTATAGTAATAACCCTCTTCAAAGATACAGATATTTATAAAACAAAGTTAATTATGGTGCTTTAAAATAGCCTTTAATTTAATTGAACTCTATAGACAAAATTTGTTTAAAAACAAACACTTAAAACTGTATTTTGTATATTTTCCTTCCATTAAATGAAAAAGACATATATTATATAAAACTAAAAACTAAAACTTGCACGAAAACAAAAACTTTTTGTATGCAGTGTCACCTTAAAAATTATTTGACCTTATTACCTACCTACTATTTTGTGTTTATCAACAACTATCAACTTTTCACCCATAAAACATTGACTAGATCCTCCGAAATGTTCTCAAACTGAATCCTTTTTGATCTCAGCATAAGACTGAAAACAGGACTCTGACATAATGTAGCCTCACAGTACAGTACAACTTGCATAATATTTTACACTCAATAAACATGTCTGTCTAATAAATGATAACACTATGAACTGACTCAAATGCTGTGCCAGATAGCCTTGAGCGCCTCAAGAGACCACTTCTCAGCCGTTTGACAATGTTTATGTTCATTTTTAAACATATTAATGTTTTAACTTTAGAATTATTTAAAAGAATGTTTGGCAGAATTGTTCTGAAATTACTGTATTATTTGAAATTATTTTAGCCTTATTTGAAATGTTATCAGACCAATTTATTTATTATATTCATTTATTATAATCCTAATAAATCCAGTAGATCCTGACAAAATTGGAAACTTCAAGTAGTCTCATAATTTATTCCATAGCTGCATTTAAAACAGCATTTGCTTGTAACATTATAGATTATGCTATTTTACTGACACTTTTGATATTTAATGTATTAGATCTGGAAAATAAACCTTACCGACCCAAAACATGTAAACAATACTGCACTCCATCATTAGTTATTTTGCTATAGAAGAGTAATATTGGTGTGGTCATGTACCAGGGGAAATGGGCCGGCTTGAGGAGGGGGATGGGGTGTACGGGATTGGGCTGGAAACTGTACGAGCTCTCAGACCCTGAGCAGACATCTCATTAAAATACCTGAAAGAAAAGACAGAGAGATGTGAGAAACAAACTGCTAAACAAGAAAAAACATCTGTCAATGCATGCTTCTCATTATAATTATGCTGCAACATTCACAGTTTAAAAAGTAACAAGGTCACTTCTAGGATGCTTAGAAACAGGGTCACGTTAAGATCCACGTGTCTGGTTAATGTGAAGTTTATCATACCCAGACTGGGAAAAGCCCTAAATATAGATAAGGTTATGATCAAAGTAATCTGTTGTCTTTAAAGTGTGTGTGTGTGATTAATGTACCTCTCGTCATCCATCTCGAGGCTGCTCTCGCTCTCTGACAGTTGTCTACACAGAGCCTCTCTTCTCTCCATTTCTCTCTGCAGTTTCCTCTGGAGTCGAATGTTCTCCTCCCGCATCTGCCTTTCCTCCTCGATATACTGAGCCCGCTTCTCTGTGTCTGGAGAGAGATGAGAAGCAAACGCAGCCAAATCTTACAAAAACTATACAAGCTGTAATGCAGACCAGAAAACAAGCAATGTTTTTGAAGTAGATGATACTATTTGCATAGTATAGTTTTTATAAATGATCAATCACGTCATCAGTTCATTTGAATTATTTATATAAATATTCCAGTTAAACATGAACAAGTTTTAAGCATTAAAACAATAAAAGTGTAATACACATCATAATTCATTCACTCTCTGGCCATTCAAAATAGATAGGGCTGCTCGATTGTGGAAAAAAATATATATAAAAACTATTATTTTGGTCAATATTGTAAACTATTGAAAAAACTTTGCTTTACAATTAAAATATTTTCTATAAAAAAGGTTGCTTTTAGACCTATACATTTCAGAGAACATAAAATTCTCAATAGCATGACAGAATGGCCAACTAAAAACAAAACGAGGTTCTCAAAATTTATTTTTAGAGCCACACCAATCTGATTAACCGTTACATATTTTATCAAAGGTTGTGTTATTGAAACCATCAAACCAAAATTCAATTGAGTTCAAAACTTGCAATTGCTTTGTGCATACATGTATTCATTACTGTAAATTCTATATTTTCCCATGTATATGAATCATATACGTTTAATCCTGATATTTATGTGCTTAAGCTTTTTATATCTACCTTATTGCTGACTCAAAGAGCTGCTGTGGTAATCCCATCTTAAAGCTTTAATGAGTGTAATACTATGAGCTAAGAGAAAGCTGTAGTATCAGACAGTAATGAAAGGAAACATCTCCCTCTAGTGTACACAACACACCATGCAAAAAAGTATTTATGATGAGAATACAACAACTGTTCTCTGCCATATACAGCTACATCCCAAAACACAGATCTCTAATACAAAACATACACTTTACTGGTCAGAGACTATACAAGAGTACAACATAACATTAAATTGCATCCTGATACCAAAAAATCAATGTCATTAGGATGGTATTTAAATGTGATAGTATTCTTCAAAAAACGGGGCCCATTAAGCCAATTAAGATGTAAAATCCGTCTCTGACGCCCCTAGAGTGTGTATGTGAAGTTTCAGGACAAAATACCAAACACAATGTTTTATAACTCTTTGAAACTGACCATTTTAGGCTTTGTTCCTTATTGTGCCATTTTGGTGACCGTTGCTTTATATTTAAAAGAGATTGTGCACCCAGTCCACTTTTCAAAAGAGGGCGGAGCTAGACATGCCTATGTGTAAGCATAGTGGCAGATTCAAAAAACAAGACTAATGTCCTATGCTAATGAGGAAGAGGTCTCACTAATGGGTGGGGCTTTCCCTCTGATGACATATACAAAATTAGAATGTCAATGTCAAAGTGTTTCTGTACACTGTTTTTATCAAGTGTTATTTTAAAAATAAAATTAATAAATGTTTACCATTAGAAGTTGGTTATATTCACACACAGTTGTTAAACAACTGTGTTTAAACCAAATATAAAAGATAGTTTTGCATAATAGGTCCCCTTTAACACAACAATCTTGTATTTATTATCCATTTACAGCCTAAAACCATACCAAGTTACAAATTTTAAAAATCCTTCTGGTTTGCCATTACCACTGGGCTATGAAAAGGTACATACTAATCCTAAAATGAAATTCTTTACCATATGGACACCATGAGCCACTGAAGATTACTATTTGGGCTGTTTCCCAGTTTGTACTGCGGCTTGTTTGCCTCTGGCTGTAGCATGATGGCAGAATGTTGGTGCAATTGTGTGTGTGAGTGTTGAGAAAGACTCACGCTGTAGTTCTGTAGTGCGGAGACTGCGCTTCAGCCTCTCCACTTCACTCTTCAGGAAGCGAATGTGTCGCATCATGTTCTCCGGAGAGTCAATCTCCATTGAAACCTCACGTGGAGAGGGCGGTGCTGACACTGGCTGGTCAAGCTTCTCCTGCAGAATCCTGCCAATCACAATCAAGATCAGTGAAATCATGAGATTGAGTGTTTTATGCATCATATCATAGTGTTTTTCCACTGTGTGACAACTTGACTAGGAATGACTTGTGCTTTTTCACACCGCAGATTATTACTGCTTCAGTGGTATAGTTCCGACACTTCTACTGCCATGACATTATCGTAAATGAGATATTAACCGTCCATGGCCAAGGGCTGAATGACTTCCTAAAAACCATTTAATTCCACGTTCCCCAATCAAGCTCTAGTTGGATTTGCTCTTTTACCAATGAGAGGAATGTGTGCACTTCCTCCACTAACCACAATACAACCATTTATTAGCTGAATTTAATTTTTGGTGGATGTGCGGATTCATCCAAATCTAGCTGTTCTGGTGTTTTATGTATTCAATCCATAATTTCCAATCATAAATATTCTTTAATAATGAATAATTGTACAAAAATCTTTACAAATAACAACAACACTGATAAAAATTATTTAAAACATTATATAGTTTTCATTTGACTAATGATAATTATACTGAAATTCCTCTAGAAGACCTTCTTAAACATTTCTCTTAAAATATTTCCTAAATAAAAACTCTATATGCAGTTCTCTAACATCTAACAAAGGGTATATGCAGGAATCAGAGAACCAAATTCAATACCTTTTAAGATCTTTATTAAGACTCTTTCCATATATTTTAAGACCTAATCCCCACTTTAGGTTTCAATTCCTTACGTAGGCAACATTTTAACTTACAATACATTTAAATGTTGATTGTAAGAAAGCACGAATGCACAGTTTTGACTTGTGATAACTTTTAATCAATGCAATATAATTCAGTAGGGTGGCAACAAAAAACAAGAAAATAGATTTACCTGACTACTACTATGAAAAGTTCATACGAAAGAGAAATACAAAGCAATACTAATTAGACCAGTTTAAAAGGCTTTAACAAATACTCTAACCTTTAAATGTATTAATGAAACTTCAGACTCATCTATTTCCTAGCAAACTGGCTGATTCATATTTTAGAAATTAACAAAATATATAATAAAATAATATGAGCATGTGACTTTTTTTTACTCTTTCCTTGGTTATTGCTGTAAGCAGAGCAACAGATTTCATAAGGTACACAGCAACCCAATGTTCACAGATTAAAGATAAACTTTAGCATACAACTATAAGGACATTTTCAAAATTAATATAATTTAATACCTTGCAAAATAGCATTTAAGACTTTTAAATACTTTAAGGGCCTTAAATCTCTCTAAATTGATTTATCGATTTTTAATACTTTTTAAGACTCCGTGGACACCCTGTAATATCTTATTTAAAAATGTATATTCTGTTAATATAAGTTTCATCAACAAAATATTCTTACACAAGTTACAAATAGATTTCTCTTCCCCTTTCAAAAAGTATGTTGATGAGTGTGTAAGTCTTGAGTAGCCAATTTTAGATCTCATATGTACAACCTGTTCTGGTGCCTTATGACATGAGTAGTGATGATTTTACCTGGCAATCAATAATCTGCATGTATTACACATAACATCTTAATATCGGTATGGCCTCGGTTGGAACATCAGTTGAGGTCATACTTAAAAAAGGTATTGAAAGTATTAAAAATGGTGGAAAGCCCCCTAATAGTGAGTGTATCGAGCTGTATGATGCAGTGGAATATCGCACAGTCTCATAAGACCGGTACATTACAGGAGTCTACCTTTTCTCTGCCTCAAGTTTGTCCATTCGTTTCCAAAGCCGGTTGACCAGTGCCTCCTGCTCCTGTTCCAGAGTGTTTTCCAGATCAATCTTCTCACGCCGCAGCTATACACAAACAAGCAGTTAATAAAACTATGGTTTCAACAATACCACACATGACCTTAAGGCAAATGCTGGGATAAAATACTAATCATGGGGCTTTGCAAAAGTACAAAATGTGTTTACTTAAGAATAACCTGTTCTAAGCTGTGCAGATGGCTGGGTGCATGTTCCAGACCCAGGCACTGGCAAAGGGCCAAATTAATAACAGAAATGAGGTATCTAAACGCACTTATTCTGCTTCGAAAGCACAACTCGTCTAAAAATACACTACCTAACAAAAGTCTTGTTGCGGATCCCAGTTGTAAGAGCAACAAATAATAACTTGACTTCTAGTTGACCATTTGGAAAGTGGCAGAAGGTACATTTAGTCATTTTACATTTAGTCATTTTTCCGATGAATCATGTGTTGAACTGCGTCCCAATCATCACAAATCGTCCCAATCATCACAAATACTGCAAGAGACCTATTGGAACCCGCATGGACCAGAGATTCTCATAGAAATGCTTGGTGAAGCTTGGTGAAGGAAAAATCATGGTTTGAGGTTACATTCAGTATGGGGGAGTGCGAGAGATCGCATGAATGATGATGATCGCAGAATGAATGGCAACATAAACAGCCTGAGGTAACAAAACATTTGTGCTGCCCATTATATTACAAACCACAGGAGAGGGCCTTCAGCCTACACATCAATGTAACTGTAAGCAACGAAGGTCAAGATGCCACAGGTTTGGCCAGCCCAGTCATCAGACATGAACATTATTTAGCATGTCTGGGGTTAGATGGAGAAAGCATTGAAGATAAATCCAAAGAATCTTGATGAACTCTTGGGAGTCCTGTATGAACATTTTCTTTGCCATTCCAGATTACTTTAATAAGTGATTTGAGCCATTGCAGAGATGTATGGATGCAGCCCTCCAAGCTTAAGGGAGTCATACACAATATTAATTCCTTCCCCATTGCAGCATGACTGTGTATTGCATACTGTACATTATTTCAGTTAAGAAACAAGTTAAGAGACAAGACTTTTGTCTAAGCAAAGTCAGACCTTACTCTTCTAATTAAATATTTAAAAATCAAGGCATGAGCATATTTTATTTCGATAAAATAAGCATAATCTAGAGGCCTTTGCCTTTCATTTAAGCCACTTCTGATACCAAATGATCATGAAGTCAAGTTGTTATTTGTTGTTCCTAAAACTTGGATAGGCGATAAGACTTTAGTCAGGTAGTGTATAGTTGGTTATCAGCCAAGAATGAGTGGTTTAGAGGTGACCCTGATCTGAAGGTACCTGCTCTAGAGTCAGCTGTTTGGAGATGGTATCGTTCTCCAGTTTTTTGATCTTCTTCATCAGTTTATTGACTTGAAACTCCTGCTCCTGCTCCAAATGCTGCTCCAACTCGGCCTTCTCATGCTGAAGCTGTAAAAGAAAGGGACTGCATTAAAATAATAAAACACAAAGTTGTAATGTTTCAAAGTCCTTACAATGATAAACCATTCCACATGATAAGCATTTCAAATTCCTGTGCATATTTGCAAATTCACCATCGCAATGCATTTTTATCAGGAATATTTGCATCTTTGTTTACAATTCATTCATTATTGAAAAGCTAATTTACTCAAGCCAAAAAAGCAAACACAACAAGCCTCAGATATTCTGACCACAAAGAGCCAAATAGGGTCAGAAACAAGTCTAACAACTAGCCCAAAACTCTGCTATAGAGGGCCAACCTTTACTTGTTAAGTCTTGTCTGAATCAATCAAATAGTTACCAATTATTTTGCTGTTCCTATTCATATTCAAAACAACATCACATTTGCCACAAAAAATAAGCAGCGCCATTTTCAAAATCTTTCCTGGGCAATGAATCCCCAATTTACACGATTTCTGAAGGATATGGAAATGATGATTTAAGTAATGTTGCATTGATTCTAAATTATGTTTTGAACAATTTTCCAAAGTTTAACAACAATCAATTCAATTATTACTGTTTTTTTTATAACAAATATTACTGTTCTTTATCTTTTTTTTTTGTCTGCATTGTGAAATAAATGCAGCCTTGGTCAACATGGGAGATTTTCAGAAACATTACAAAATCTTACATCCCCAATCCTTAGTGTAAATGTACAGTTGGTGTGACTCATTGATACACACACTCATTTCATCATCTCTTGTTACTCCTCCACACATTACTGAACACCTACTAAACACACGTACCATAAACATTGTCATCTGGTCCCAGTTAAGAAAAGCCAGATTCACTCTGAGTATTGATCACAATACCAAAACAATGTGTCATATGGTTGGATCAGCTTCTGTCGTTCGCTTACATTGTGCTGCACATGAACCAAAACTACTAAAGAGAGCTGCTGATCAGTAACTTTATGAAAGGTATCTAGTTATAATGATTCGTACTTTCATGTGAACGTTACCTTCAGGAGGTGATTCTAAGTTCAAGTGATCCTGTTTCCCACCCCTGACCTCAAATGTACACTGACAGGCTAGAGTTTCTCACCTGCATAAGTTTCCTGGACAAATCATTGGTAAGGAACTCCTCTTCTTTCTCATAGTTGACAGCGAGTGTCTCCTTCTCCTTCTGCAGAGCCTGAATCTTCTTGAATAAGGTGTTGGAGATGAACTCCTCTTCTTGTTCGGCTCGCGCTTGCTGCAGAAAAATATAGATAAAACTTCTTTTGAGGAAAAACAAACTCTTTTTGAATGTTTCAGTAACCAATTAAAATTATTCATTTATCTTACAAACATCTTTAAAACTATTAGACTTGAATAAAAATGGGATTTATAGGGATAGTTCACCCAGATTTAGGTTTTATATTCGCACATTTGTTCAGTGACAACTTTTGAAATGCTCCCTATATTGTATACTATGGTACTTTGAATATTCAATCTGAAATCACATGCAAGTATGACTTGCAAACAACTTTACCGCTATTTAATAGACTGTGAACAATGTTGTATTTGATAGTCATTGGCTGCTAATATGATTTTACCATTTAGAATTTGCAGATAATATTTTTGTGAAATTGTATTATATCGAGTAGAGCTGTGCAATTAATCGAAATCGAATCGCAATCGAGATTTGAAACGTTGAAATTAGCTAATCTCAAGAGGCCGCGATATAAAATGTATATGTATTATATAATTTCCCCCACCCAAAGCAAATGCACGACTGCCTTCTGCCCAATTAGAATTTTGCAACCGAACTATTCGGTACGCCCACAAAAAAAACAAACAGAAAAGCACAAACAAGGGGGATGATGGCGTCTGCCACTTCAAAGCATTAATAAATGAATTCATATCAAAGAAAAACAGCATGTCAGTAATATGGAAATATTTCGGTTTCAAAATTACAGAGACCGAACTAAAACTGGTCATTTGAAAGAGCTGTGGCAAAATTGTTGCCACAGAACGAGGAAATTCAACAACCAGCACCTAAAAAGCACCACAGGCACCAGCTGATAAATAGCTCAATACTGTTTGCTCTAGACAAAAAACAGTGTTTAGTTTCTGAATGTTTAAATGGAGTCACTGTAACTTAGTAACAAATGTTCGGCAGCGGAACAACACCTCATTTAGTCTTCTTGACCAATTACCTACCTACAAAAAACGTATAAACTTATAACTCCTACGTTGAAACGGGGGTGGGGGTCCAATCACTCCACCAAAATATTACAGAGACGGTATCCCAACTCCTAGTCTCTTTGCATCATCGTCAGACGATCAACCTACCTGCCTGTTCACGTTTACGTTCACTTACCTCCCACTGTTCTCTTACTATCCCTTTCATCCCTACATTCCAACAATAAAATCTAGCTCAAAGTGTGGCGTTGTCCATGCTGGTGAAAAACATTTATTTGACTAACACTCACTGCATTTTAGCAATAAGACGCTACGATACAGAATATTGAGCTGAAGCTTGACTACAAAATTAAATCGCAAATCAGATCAAAATCGTAAAATCTGTTTAAAAAATTGCAATTACATATTTTCCTCAGATCACACAGTCCTAATATCGAGGAGACCAAATGTGCGAATATAAAACCAATTTTAGCTCAATTTCTCCCCGAATTACATTTAATGTTAATTTACTCACCCTCAGGCTATAAAAATAATTTAGATTTTTCTTCAGTTAAACATTAAAGAGTTTTTTGGTCAAATTGTGGCGTTTGATAATTGATTTAATATAACTCTATAGCCAACCATGTCTAAAACAAAAATAAAAGAATCACACAGGCAAAGCAAATACATGTAAACACTGACAGGACTTTTTGATGTGAAACAATCAGCCTGTAGATGAAAGTGAGCATTATATATAAAACTTTATTTTAAATACTGAGTGAGCATCTGACGCAGTGTGTTTACTTCATACAGATAGCAGCATCCAGGATATATAAATATTAAAGGTAATAATGTTGCAAATAACGTTCTGTTTCTTGCAAAGATTGATCACTTCACTTAATAAGATGACAACGTATCCTCAGGAGACATGGGCATAGATTTTGCTACACCTGTATGTAGTTTGATTCTCAAACTTTCATGAATCACCATTCAGCTTCAGCTAAAACGTTTTTAAACGGGAAAAAATGATGGACTGGGAATAAGTAAACAAATATTTGTGTGAACTACCCCTTTTTAAAACTTATGTTTCAAGCAGGAAAATCCAACTGAAATACTCGAAATGCAGGAAAATAAACCATAGGTGCACTTTACGAAGTAAACTACTTCCCAACCAGTATCAAATGTAATCTTTGCAGACTGTAATAGATGCAGACGCAGTGGATTTGAGTGTCAGTGTATCTCCAGTGACACTTGAGTGTTGGCTCTTTGTCTAAATGCAGATGGTCTGAGTGAAGGGCTGATTCACATACAGGATGTTGACGCATTTGAGTCAAATATTCAGAGTGCCAACTTCCCACCCTGACACGGGCCTCAAAAATAAAACACTAATGACAACCTCATTCCCTCAACAGAATCGACCTGACGTGTAAAAACACGCTCTGCGTTAAATCCATGATGATGATAAAGCATGTGGTAAATCAGTAAACGCCTTGCGCGGTCACTGCTACCGACCATAAAACACGTAAGGATTAAACACAAATAACGCCATACAAGTTTAATTTAGGAACTCTCCATTTTGAAATCTAAACATTTTAACGCAGCTAGCATGTGATGTACAGTAGCAGACAGTGGGCTATTAAAGTGGGACCATTCTTTGTTGACTGAATGTGCCGTTAGCTCAAATGCTAGCATGCTAAACGGCCGCAACGGCATGTTATTTTGCCCCAAACAAGTTGTTTATACACTCTAATGTGGTTTATAAAGTGCCTCGGATGTCTTTGCATGCGGTGATGGTGTTGTCAGGTGTGCCGCGTGTATGAAAGTGATAAAAACACGGGCTGACTCACGATTGTAACGCTAGCCTTGCGTAGGTCGCGGTTCTCCTCCTGCAGCGCTTTGCACTTCAGCTTGAACGTCTCCAGCTCGATCTTCAGCACTTTGTTCTCCTGCTGCAGCGACGCGAGCCTGTTTGTTAACTCCTCCAGTCTGGACTGCGAGATCACGACGCCCTGCGCTTTGCTGGCTGCGTTTGTTGTGGTCGCGGTGGAGGTGGCCGCCGAGGTGCAAGAGGACTGCGGGGTGGCGGAGCTGCTGCTGCTGCCCGCGCCGTCCGTGTCGCTCTCGCTCGCGCTGTCCGCCATGCTGCGCCGCGCTCGGTAACGATACCGAAAGCTCGCAACGGTCCTCGAGTGGAGTGGAAGTGGGTTTCAGGGGCTGGGAAGAAAGAGGGATGGAGCAAGTGTGGATCGACTGTAGGGGAACGGTCCAAGAAATGACTGGGCGTGCTGAAAGTGCAAGCGAATAGAGAGGGTGGCGCCGTCCAGTGGCGGAGAGGACAGAGTGTTTGGGGGTTTTGATTCAGTCCTGCTGAGACTCGAATCTTTTGAATCACCGATTCATTCTGACAGCATTTGTTGAGGAGGTAAATAGAGTCTTGTCTGTTATGAGTGAATCTTTGAACCGTTTACTTTTTTGATATTCTGACAGCATTGTTTTTTTAATTGAAGCATATAACTGACAAGCATGCAATATTAAATTATAAGATACCATATGTAACAGTCATAAAAAACATGATACATAACATACATTAAATAAAAAATACTACATTACATACACATTACATATACATTACATATACATTACATATACTATTTTAAAATCTTTACAGACAAAATTAGGGAGGGAGTAATAGACATTACTTTGGCTTGAATGATCAACTTCAAAGCTTTATCGGGTGTATCATAGCTAGTTTTACAATTCAAAAAAAGAACCATGAATTCCTGTTGCGTCAAAGTTAATTATGAATCAAAAATTAACCCTGAAACCCATTTTCAAGTACAAAATAGATGTAAAAGACACTGTGGTGAAATGTCTTTTTAAAATAATTTAATTTAAATAATTTAAATGTATTAATAAATATATTGCAGGGATAGTACCTGTGTAATAGTTTGAAATAAATTAATTTTACCTTATTTAGGAATAAAAACTTTTTAATTGTTGACCAAATATCATCTATAAAAGGGAAAGGAAAATATTTTTTCCGTTTCAAAATGGCTTTTGGGAAACAACTACTATTTTGAGTTAGACATTTTCTGATATGGAAGTTATTACATTTTGTATCTAAGATACTGATACCACCAAGTACAGTTTTTGGAATTTGAGTTATAAGTAAGATGCATTTTTATTAAGTAAAGCAGTTTATTAAAGATGCTTTTCATAACCAAATTATAATCATTATGCAAAAAAAAAAAAAAAAAAAAAAACTATCTCTGTAGAAGAATTTCCTGAAAAGTATAAATCTCACATCTGTTATTTAGTAAATCTGAAACCAAAATAATTCCCTTGCCGAACCATTTTTTTTTCAAATATGCTTTTGTTTTTATGCAGCACATGTTGATTATTCCATTGAATGTACGTATGCGGAGAAAAGTTGTTTAAAGGCAATTTTCCATGCTTCTAATGATTGCTTAAAAATTTGAACCATTTACTCAATTTGTTCAAAAATTCCTTTAATGAAATTCCTAAAATGAATAATAAAAAAATCCTAAAATGACCATAAATTACAAAAGTTGTCTATTATTTCCCATAACTTTTCTCAGTGATAGCTAGGGCTCTTACTAAAATGCAAACATCTAATTTTACAAGTACAGATATGTGTGACGATTAATGCACTTTATATTATGCATGTTTTATACAGCCCATATTAGCAATAATTGTTCAGTATTATTGTTGGTATTGATTGGTTTTCTTCAATTGTTAATGTCTCCATTTAATGAATTATTTATCACACTCACAAACACCAATATATAGCCCAACTTTAAAGTGGATCAAAAAGTTTTTCAGAATTGTCCTTAAACAAAAATAGGTATTTAATAGATAAAAAAAAAAAAAAAAACTTTAATGAAAGCTTTTTGACTATTGTATGTGGAAAGCCTGGTTTTAGACCACAATAATTAAATTGTATAGTGTAGGGCCTCCTTTTGTGGCCAATTCTGCATTAGTTAGTCTTGGGAACGACACAAGTCCTGCACAGTGTCCAGGGGGCGTTTGAGCCATTCTTCTTGCAGAATAGAGTCCAGGTCCAGGCTCAATCTGGTGACTGTGCAGGCCATGGGAGATGTTTATTGATGCATAATCATCCTGATGCACAGCACAATCTTCAGAATACAATGTTTGAACCCTTTGGTGGCAAAAAAGTTTTTAGATACCCGTCTATCTACAATTGAAGTCAGAATTATTAACCCCCATTTATTTTTTTCCAAAATTTTTGTTTAACGGAGAGAAGATTTTTTTTCAACACATTTCAAAACATAATAGTTTTAATAATTCATTTCTAATAACTATTTATTTTATTTTTGCCATGATGACGGTAAATAATATTTTACTAGATATGTTTTAAGACACTCTTAAAGTAACATTTAAAGGCTTAACTAGGGTAATTAGGTTAACTAGGCAGGTTAGGGTAATTAGGCAAGTTATTGTACAATGATGGTTTGTTCTGTAGACTATCGAAAAAATATATATCTTAAAGGGGCTAATAATATTGACATTAAAATGGTTTAAAAAAAAAAAAAAAAACTGCTTTTATTTTAGCCGAAATAAAACAAATAAAAGACTTTCTCCAGAAGAAAAAAATATTATCAGACATACTGTGAAATTTTCCTTGCTCTGTTAAACATAATTTGGGAAATATTAAAAAAAAGAAAAAAATTAAAAGTTGGTTTAATAATTCTGATTGCCCCTTCGGAGCTCCCGATGGTCAGTTTTGGTGGAAACAGGAAAGTTGAGATGCTCATTTAATTCTACAATGAGTTGGGCAGCTGTGTTTTTTTTTTTTTTTTTTTTTTTTGGATGCAATCCAGCACCTGGACATTCCTTTCAGACAGCTTCCTTCATTCTTCTTGGTGGTACGCTGACATTACCCTGGACACAAGTGGCTCTTGATAGATCACAAAAGAATTTGTCTTTTTTAAACTCTGACATGTCACAAATATTGTTGTGTGCTTTGCAATAACTTAAGCAAAACTACTGTGCTATTACTCTGCTAATTAGACCTTCACTCGCTGCTCTTGCTGGTAGAATGTGCAATCGGTGAAGACTGGCCGTGCACCAGGCTGGTCAAATTTTGCCATAAAACCCCCAACACTGAATTGGCCAGTGTTTTAGTTGTCCAACCCATATATATTTATTCAAAAAACTCAATAACAGGTCACATTTAAAGATGGATGTAATTCTATAGAGCAGGAAAGTGTGACCACAGAGGTCACATCCAGTTTATATAAATACTTGTTACCAGTGGCGGATTTAGGCATGGGCAATATGGGCGATCGCCCAGGGTGGCATCTTGTTTGGGTTTGCACAGGGAGATGGTCCAAAAAAATAAAAAATGTAAATATATGTTTTTGGGTGGGGGCATAGCCATTAAGTTTAGCAACACCCCTTGGTAAATTTAATGGGCTACATAATGATATAATAACTTTGCAGCAAAAAAGACAAGAAAGGTCCAGCTGTAGTGAAATGTTAGTTACATTTCAGTTTGTATGCAGTCTAAATTGTTTGTTTAAAACAATTACATACGTTCCAATGGGAGTAATAAAAAGTCAACAACATAGTTTCTGTATGATTCTGGGGGGGTGGTCGCCCAGGGTGCTATTTAAACTAGAACAGATGTAGTTGTTACATCTGATTTCAGATATGATATCTTAAGCATTGTTGAAAAGTCTCTGCTTTATTTATGAACTACCTGTATGTAGATCATAAAGAAGAAAGCTAATCACCATCATTACTCATCAACAAAACTACTGATAAGAACCTATGAATGGTGTTAATGTTATAATGTCACATCAAGGGTGGACAATACATGTTCTTCATTCATTCATTCATTCATTCCTTTTCTTTTCGCCATAGTCCCTTTATTCATCAAGGGTCACCACAGCGGAATGAACCGCCAACTTATCCAGCATATTTTTTTTAAACAGCAGATGCCCTTCTGTCCGCAACCCAACACCGGAAAACATCCATACACTCGTACATACACACACATACGCTTCAGCCTATTTAGCTTGTTCAATTTACCCATGTCTTTGGACTGTGGGAGAAAACTGGAGCACCCGGAGGAAACCCACATGAACACTGGGAGAACTCCACACAGAAATGCCAACTGACCCAGCCGAGGCTCCAACCAGTGACCTTCTTGCTGTGAGGTGATTGTGCTACCCACTGTCCACCGTGCTGCCACATATTCTACATAGCATGTTCAAATATAAAAATATGTATTGTTAATGTGATAGATACATATTACACACATTAAACACTCGACTATGATGTGGTGCAAAAAATAAGAACACAAATAACATGAGAGCACTAAAATGACTGAATAAAACAATCGATTTGCAAAATCAATGCGTTTATTTTATTTTTAAATTTCTGTAAGACATTTGAAACATTATGGTGGCATCATAGCTGCTAGTTTCTAAAAGAGAAGACCTCCAATAACCAAAGTGCTATTATAGTTACATTTAAATGGCTTCACTCATTGTAAGAATTGTACATCAAAAATGTCGCTCAGGTGAAAACATATCATATGAAACAAAATCAACCCATTTGGATTGGGCCGTGTCAGGCCCCTCCCACAGTTTGATTGACATGTAACAGGGAAGCAGAACCACACTCCATCATGACCTAGTTTCCTTATAAAGTCTTTCAGATCTCACTGCCATAGCAAAGTTCAGCACACCGAAGGATATTTCACACCATACACACCACAAGCTAAAAAGACCAGAGCTCTATTGGAGGAAAAAACAAACTAACAAAAAAAAAGAAAAAAGAAAGAAGAAGTAATCTCTAAAGAAAAGGTCTATATTATCAAAAACCGAACACATTGACTCGCTGGTCTAAAATATATCACACGATTTCAAAACCGATTTCTTGTAATACTTAAAATTAGAATGACCATCCAGTGTGTGTCATTTTGTAATACATAAGCTAGTAAATCTACAAGTAATAAAGGTCTAAAGACATCCCATATGAGTAGATGGAAATGTTCAATGTTCACCTAACCTGAAAAACAAAAGCAAAAGTTGTCATTTTAAAACCTCGGCGGACCAATAAGAAAAGAAAAAGGATGGAGACATTCTTATAATGATTACAAACAGCGTTAAGACAAAGAGAGAACTCTACATTGTACAGCCAATACACATGATACA